TGACTCCTACGAGGAAATTGAAAAAATTTTAGTAGGTTAGTAGAAGTTTACAACAGACCTTTAGCAAACCATGACTGCAACGGCAACAAGAAAGTGGCAAAGCGAGAGGATAAATGAGCAGAACAAAAGCTTAGTTATGCCTATAAGCTTCCTTAATTTCTTAGGTTTTTGCTGATAAATAGGCTGTAAAATCAACAACTTTGGCCTTTTCTAAGAAAGACAGCCCCAATGATGAATCATTTTTACACTTTTATTTGGAACTACTCACAAATAACTACACATGTAAAAATTACTCACCCATACTCCATCCCACTTGTCATATACATTGGGTGTTGCTTCTTTGTTTTGTAACCATCAAACCAATCTAGAGAAAACACTTTTGTCAAATACTCTGCAAGAATGTCATATTAGGCACAGCACTCCCTAAAATCCCTTCATATACTGTATATAATGATTTGACAACTATTTTAATCATTGAGCTTTTAAGTGAGGTAGTGCCCAATGTTAAGACCTCTTTTTGCAGAACTCTTGTGAAAAAAATTTTGAAAGAGTGTTGTGACTTTCTACTAAACTAGGAAAAGCATTTGATCAAACAAAATGCGCACAAAATACTGAGTGGTTCAAGACGTTCAGTATTTCACAGATTGTATGACACCCACCTCCTTCCTCAATCTCTTTTGTTGTTGGGTTAATTAACTGAACTTCAGTAGGACAGGAGAAAACAGGGTTGCCTGGGTTATTAATTAGATCTGGAAGACACAATAAAACATACCCGGATTATTAAACCGCTCAGGAATGTTGAAAGTGCGGTAATAGTCAGAAGTAATGGCACCTTTTCCTGGTTTGGTCTGCTCAAAGTCATATGCTGTCCCTCCTGGAACTGGGTTACTTTCTGTGGCATCCTGAAATAAATGAAAGTTTACATGATAACTTTAATCTATTGTGAAAAATGAAATAAAGCAAAGGCAAGTTGTTGATTATAGGGCAAAATAATGATAATTTCTCTAGAGAGTAACTGTCTACCATCTAGAGAAATTAATGCCATAACACAAAGTAATTTAGAGTTTCAGGAGAACTTTCCTAAAGAGAAAACTTAATAACTTTTAAAGTAGAACACTAAGGTTTATTTTCCTGTCAAGCAAAGCTAGCATGCTAGAAAAGCAGAGCCAAAAAAGATGTAAACTGGAGTAATTTACGGTTTAAAGATTTGTACGGTAAATTTCTGTGGCAGTATTTGCTTAACATTTTATAGTAAAAAGTAGTGAGATTAAGACGTTTTGGTGACTACATGTCACCATCATCAAATGTAAAATTATTACAAGTTCAGTGATGTTATATAAAAGAAGGAAGTGTGAAGCTAAATTTGAATAAAATGAAATGGAGTAAAACAAAAGAATGCACATGATAAAATGAACAGTTTCACTGGAATAGAGTCTTTTTGAGTGTTCAGAGTTGGTGTGAACACTGAAAGAGACTGACTCTGAACACCCAAAAGGACTAATTAACCTGGTTTACTTAAAACTACAGTAGCACCCCCCTGACTTGAATCACTAGAACAATGGTATCCTGTTAATAATGACAAGGGAATCATATTTTTACCATACTTGCACAATCAACAGTCATTTTCATACAATTAGTTTGTTTCAAGTATTTTCCTTTAATAGGGATGTTTAGGGTGGGAAGTTAAGCCAGATGTAGTAGGTTTTGATAATTGTGTTTAAAGATTGGGATGTGTCAATCAGCTATGTATTGACACTTTGACATTTATTAAACAACCTTTTTACTTAGTTCAAGTTACCACGGTAAATTTGAGCCAAGGGAAAGCAAAATTAGTTTGAGTTTACCAGGAATTTGAGTTGGCTGACAGTAAATGACTGGAAAAAAAGGGGACAAATCCTTTGAAAATCGGATCTTGCCTAAGTAAGCCGAGGGTTCGACTTAACCAGGTTCAAGCAGGATTCTACATACTATACAGTTTTTATTTTAGGTCTTATTACTGCATGGCAACAAGAATTAAGTCAATAAAAAAATTCAGAAAAGCAGATCATGCACCATGCATATGTCTGTCAAGGTTCTTGGACTATCACTTCGCAAGTATTGGATCCATACCAAGTCTCTGGTTGGTATAGACTGCCAGCTTTAAATATCACTTTCAATACTGTAGTGTGAACTCACCGTGCATCAACAATAAACATACATATATGCGGACAACTTTCTACATACACTGAAATCCTTAGCATTTCTCAAAAATTTAACTGAAAAAGCAACTTAATAATATCACTGAGTGTAATTTCATAATTGTATTTGGCTCCAGTAGTACAGATGAGTGTAAAATATTCTGCGTCAAAAATCAATACGACGCACCGCGTTCGGGAACGTTAAGCTTGCACCGATAAAAAGGTTACTGATGGCTTTACTTTAAGAATATTGTACATAATTCCTGTTGAATTTCGTCTTAGAACTGGGATTCTATCATTCTTCGATGATGGTTCAAAATCTAAGTGAATACAAACTATTTACATGTACCAAGTAGATGAACTTTAGAGAAGCTCACCTTCCTTCACGAAACATCTAAAATCAAAAGGGCCTAGTGATACGCAAAAAAGAAGCATTAATATATATATATTTTTTAACTATAGAATCTGACTTTCCTACCTTCTGTTTCTCTGGAAGGTTATTTGTTCCTGAAGCCATCGTTAACTAACGAAGAACAGCAGCGAATTAAGTCTAATGGGAGCAACCGAGCAAACCAACCATCAATGTGGGTCTTTGTTGCTATGATAACGAAGTGAAGAATCACAAGACAGTCGCGAGCCTCATTCTCATGGCGAGAGCCAAGTCTCTTTCATGACCCTCCATAGCAAAAGAATCTTGTCCGTTCTTGTCCATAGATATCTTCACCTGGGAATGAAGTGTCTACATAATTCAGAAAACTTGTGGAATTTGTGAACTGACTAATCAAAAACAGTTATATCTTTATCTTTTTCTAGGAATTATCTTTTAAAATTTGTTTTTATTTTCGAATGCAATCTAGTACAGGTCGGTACATGTAGTTGTGAAAATTAAATTTAAACTTAAGTTTATTTTTCTTTCATTATTTCTTGCAAATAAATTTATTTATTTATTGATTGATTTATAATTTTATTCGTGTATCCTTCTTTTACCATTTCTGCTTCTTCTCGCTTATCAATTTATTTAATCATCAATTCGTTTATTTATTTTGAGAGAGATATTAGAGCCGACGCTCCTCGGGTGAGAAAGAAAACGAAGGTGTAGTTATATCGTTAATAACTTACAAAAAATTCAAAACGTGATTCCTCATCAGAAGCCAGATTTTTGCAGGTAACCATACGATTTCGAAAGCAATTTGAAATATCTAATCAAAGGAGTATATAACCAAGTTTCAAAGCCAACGAGTGCAATTTGTAGTCTTTGAAAAATTTTATTAAAAAATTCATACACTCGAAATCATATGGTTACCAGTACAGTGTATGCACCATGCTCGTGGCTGAAAGGTGTAACACGACAGTTCACCTGGGATACCTGTGTATTTGGACACCACGCGTTGCAGTTTACTTTTGCCTAGAGAAAAGTCAACTGTTTTTCCGTTCATGAGTAAGTTTTTGCGATGGGTATTGAGTTCCTTGAGTTGTTTCATAGTTTTTATCCAATGGTAGCAGGACAGTTCGAGTCTATAATTCAGGCCGTCTGTAATCGTGACCATGGAAAGAGTGGTCCCGAGTTATGATGATTCACTCTAGAGCCCTCAAGAGTTCGATTTACTGGAATTTTTGAGATCCAATGAGGTAAGTGATGAGGCAGAAGAAAGTTTGCTTTTAGTAAATTCGTTGAACGTCTTGGCTCAAAATCATAGTACCAGCCAATAACGTGAACCTTCTGCCTTTTCCCGTTGTATAGATGAAGAGATTGGCTCACACAATTCGATAAAAAGTTGGAATCAATGTCAATATCCCAGCAACTGCGCACCTACTGTTTTCTTGAGGAAATAGGTGTTGTCTTCTTTCATTGACATTTTTCCATTTATTTCACTGAATGATTAAAAATCTTGATTAGCATATAACTATACTTAGGTTGGCATTTCAAGTCTGTTCAGTCGAATCGGATATCAAAGTTAGAGAAAAGTTATAATTTGCCGTTCCTGTTAAATACACTGACCAGAAGAAGATTAGTCTTTCTACTTCAGCGCACGTTATCGAGCATTACACATGTAATGATTAGGAATTAGGTATGTATTTCTCTTTGATCGAATAACTACATACTAAAGCTTGAATTTTATTGATATACGGTTTGTGGTTGTCTCTATCTCAGCTAACCCGTTCCATGAGGAAACACCTACCCCGCCTCTAACTCAACAACAACTAAACTGGTTAGGGTTTATGTTGGGCTAGGGGAGGGGAAGGTGTACAGTTCCCTCGCTTCCGTTTTACCTTAGGGGGGAGGGTACGGTTACACGTGGGCTAAGAAATTGACATTACTCTAAACGTTGTTTATAACATAGGAAATGTTCCAAACCTTGCTTGCCTACTGTGGCTCCTGGTTTTAATGTTGAGATTGGAAAGCTAACGGTTTTGAGAAATAGGACCTCCAAAAGGGGATTGAATTGAAATGAAAAGGAGATAGACAGAACAGCGCGCTTTGGAACCACGATAACACGACTGAAATCACGAAAACTCCAAATGAACCTGACGAGCATATGAATGTGATTCTTGTAGTGCTTAATTTACAATACAAAATTCTAATTGTGCCCAGTTTTTCAAAGGATGGATAACGCTATCCAACAGATAAATGACTATCCTCCATTGGATAAGTGTTCAAAAAAATATATTGCGCTATCCGCTGGATAGAGATTTTTCCAGAGGAAAGCGTTATCCAACGCTTCGAATAACGTTCGATCCAACGGGGCCAGCAGACCTTTTCCGTTTTGGGGAAGCGAAGATCAGAATTTGTAAAACGCTATCGCGAAAAAAATTAACTTAGAATTCGAAGGGAACCAAACGTTTTATTCTGAAACTCAAAATCTTTAAGGAAAGTATATCGTATATCGAAATTTACTACGCTAAATCTGGATTTACTTTTTATCATCAAATAAATTCCAGACTCGTTCTTTACAGAGCTCTTCATAGCATATATGTTGAAGAACAATTTTTGAAAACTGGTATTATCACCCCAACGATAACATAAAACCCTAACAGTCTGCCAGCAAAACTATTATTACAGTTTTTGCGCAATTATTGTAAAAAGCACTTTCCCATTCACCTGATTTTAAACTTAAGCCTGAGTGAAACTGCTGTAAACATATTGTTTATCTGCTATGACAGACTGCAAGCAGTGACAGATAGTCTCTGCAAGAGTTTTAAATGAGCTTAATTTATCCCCAGAAGCTACCCAGAACCTAGCCACTTCAAAACTACCAAAAAGCTTATGTTAAAGACCTGAATATTTGGCTTTTCCGTGACTGGAACAGCGAAAGCCCATATCGTCTTCACTTTATAATAACAAATTCTGCTTAAACAACAATAAACTTTTTCCAGAAACAAGTAAGGATTTAACTTTAAAAAGCACACATTTGGCGATACGATCATTTTGAGACGTAGCTTAACAGTTATGGTACTGAATGTGAAAAGTAATATATGTACAAGCGTTCAACATCACAGTGGCGGGCCCCAATCAGTCTTCCAAAGAGGAGAAGTCCTCTCCTTCCCACAGAGCATTCACTTCCCGCTGCACTCGGCGATCTGATAAAGAAAAATTCATAAAATTAACGTGATGGCTGCATCTCACACAGTCTGAACAGATTTACGGTCGTAAAAACGTTAGTTTTAGTTGTAAGGCAAGAATAAACTAGTTTGTGTTGAAATGACTGAGGTTGTATCGAAACGACTTTCTACGTGTTTCAAGTTGATCATGTTGATGTGGCGAATCGACCGGACTTCATCTGAACTAGACTGTCAGTTCCACAGTGTGAAAATTAAGATTCTTAAAGGTAAAACTATACATCCTTTAGAAAGATAAAGTTAGTTTTCATGAGGTAATGAAAAGTCATTCAGGCATCTTAACGTATTCTTTAGTTTTAGGTACGGATTTGCAAGATCACTTTGGTCCATAACTCTCAGCTAGTCTGAAAATTCGCTTGTCATTTTGTCTTTTTTACTCACATATCTCATCAAATGCCTCCACGATTTCTCCAAGTGCTTCCAGCCGTTCATCTAAGTCTTGCATCTCTTTGGTGTAGATGTCAAATTTTTGATTCTTTTCGGCTCTGGCTTGTTTGCTCTCGGAATAAGACTCCTCATATTTCTTCAACTTCTCGACGATTTCATCAACGACAACTTTCAAGGCAATCTTAGCCTTAGCTTTCCTTTCTGCTTTCAGAGATGTGATCTGAAATAAAAGAAAAGACATTGAAAGAAAGAACTCCGTGTAGTCAAGAATTGTTACTTACGAAGCTCATTCAATCGTTATTAAAAGCCTTAAAATACTGCTCTTGTTGCCCCACTGAAAATTATGTTCTACACGTGTAGCTAAAGGGTAGTTTTAAGTAGAAATGAAAGTCTAACCCACCGTATCTTTGAGGAATTTAATGTTCTTATCGCAATCTTCAATGTGTTGTTGGCATTCAACAGCAGCTGCTGCCGTCGCATCTCGCAGTCGTCTGTGAGCCATAATGTCCAGTTTGTGCAGCTCACGCTCTTCTTTCTTTTTGCTTTCCACAGAAGCATCCATTAATTTACTGGATCCATCTAACGAAAAAAAAAGGGAACAGAAAGATCTCGTGACTTGTCTCAGTAAAGTTCTGCTGCTGTAAGCCAAAATTCTGTTTCTGTTTCCTTTTCGTCTCGTCTTTAAAAGAAAATCTAGCCTTAGTTGATTCAAACAATAGATAAGAGCAGTTTTCAATGGGTATCGATCGTGATTCTGGATTGCTTTGGTTTTGCTTTACTTCGCTCTGTGATTGGTCCAAAAAACTCGCACCACAATCTCAACCAATCAAATGGAAAACAAAAACCAATCTCAGCTTGGTCACTCGCGTTTTCCCGCTCGTCAAGCAGGTTGCCCCTTTTACTTTGAGTTCCCATTGGTTAATGATGATGTTTAACCTTTGTTTCTGATTAGTTGTTGTGATTACCTTAGTTTTGGTTTTTTGACAGTCAATTGAAACTACTCTCACTCCAAGATAAATTCGTTTGATACAAAGAGGTTTAGAGCAGTTTTCAATCAAGTCTCCGAGTACCATAATCAGAGTAATCACAACGGCAAATCAGAACAAAGGTTAATATCATCACAAGCCAATGAGGGCTCAAGAAAAACAGGCGAACTACCAAAAGCGCGGGAAAACGTTGGTGACTAAGTCACCATTTGTTATAGCAGGTAATTTAGTGTTAACAACTGAGTTGAAAACGTAAATTAGCCACCGTAAAGGGTAAAAAAGCTGACGTTTCGAGCGTAAGCCCTTCGTCAGAGCGATTGAACGAAGGGCTAACGCTCGAAACGTCAATTTTTTTACCCTTTATGGTGGCTAATTTACGTTTTAATAATATTAAAAAAAATAATATTAAAAATTTATAGTGCGCAAATTCCATAAAATGTTCAAATGCGCATTACAAGATTAAAAATTATCATTAAAATAGACTTACAATAATTTTAAGAAACGAGATAAAAAAAAAAAAAAAAAAAAAAAAAAAATAAATAAAAAAAAAAAAAAAAAAAGCTATAGAAATGCACTACGAAAAAGGTGAGTCTTCAGTTTAGCTTTAAAAATATTTACTGTTCTTGCGCTCCTAATATCCAGCGGTAGTTCGTTCCATAGTTTCGGAGCAGCACAGGTAAAAGAACGGTCCCCCAGTGTAGCTTTCGATTTAAATGATGGATGGCTAAGTAAAAGCTTATCACTGGAATTTCTTAAATTATATTTGGAGGGGGGTCTAAGGGAAATAAGAGAGGATAGATAAGAAGGGGCTAAAAAATTAAGAATCTTAAAAGTAATTAACAATATTTTAAACTCAATTCTATATCTAATTGGTAACCAGTGTAACTTAAAAATTAAGGGCGTAATATGACAAAATCTCTGTTCTTTAAGAATCAATCTGGCACAAGCATTCTGTACTCGTTGCAGCTTATTCAACAAGCAGTCCGGTAGTCCATATAATAGGCCATTGCAATAGTCCAGGCGGCTCGTTATAAATGCATGGACAAGAGTTTCCGTTGACTGCTGTGAAAGGTACTTTCTGATCCGACGAATATTATAAATGTAATAAAATGAAGAGGCACAAATTTTCGTGATGTGTGTTGCCATGGAGAGCCTTGAATCAAACCAGGAACCAAGATTTCTCGCAATTGGCACGGGATGTATGTCTGAGTCGCCCACACGTATACTGATATTGTCGAGCTTTCCCAGCTGTTGTGATGTGCCAATGATAAGGAATTCAGTCTTGTCGTCATTTAATTTAAGATCATTATTCAACATCCAAAGACGAATGTCTCTGATGCAGTCCTCCATACTCCTCACTACAGCAAGTTGCTCAGCTCTGTCGTTGGGACTGAATGAGATGTAAACTTGAGAGTCGTCAGCGTAACAATGAATCGTGGGCAAATGATATTCAATGATCTCAAAAAGCTTGCTCGTATACAACGAAAACAATAACGGACCCAGACAGGAACCTTGAGGCACACCGCATTCTAATTTAAAAGGTTTCGACAGCGAATCGTTAATCATTATCCGTTGAGTTCTACCAGACAAATAGGACGTAAACCAGGAGAGGGCTTTCCCATGTATACCAAATGATGACTCAAGTCGACGTAGCATGGTGTCGTGATCAACTGTGTCGAAGGCAGCACTTAAATCGAGCAGAATAAGCAGAGTAACACGTTGACTGTTCATGTTAAGGAGAATATCATTCATAACCTTAAGGAGTGCAGTTTCTGTGCTGTGGTTCTGTCGATAGGCGGATTGAAACACTGGGAACAGATTGTTGCCATTCAGATAATGCTGTAGCTGCTTGGCAACAACAGTCTCAACCAGCTTTGAGATAAATGCCAAATTACTCACGGGTCTGTAGTTCTTAAAAACAAGAGGTAATCCATCCTTCTTCAACAGCGGCCTTACTAGAGCACTTTTCCAGGTGCGTGGAAAATAACCAGAATCAAGCGAAAGATTTATTATTTTCGTGATCGGAGGTAGTAGCACATCGGCGAAGTCAGTAAGAAGTTTGGTTGGAATAGGATCAAGAAGACAAGATTTCTTTGATGAAGCTTTGATTAAATCAAAAACCTCTGATTCGGACAGGAGAGTAAATTCTGAAAAACAGGAAGCAGTCACAGTACTGGCAGCGTCGATGGTGACAGGAAGGCGGCTCTGGTTTGCAATAACAGACTTGATATCAGCAATTTTTTGAGCAAAGAATTTTCCAAAATCATTAGCCAACTGATAATCATTAGTCGACAGTGGGAGGCCAGGACCATTTGATAAATTCAGCAGGGACTTACTTGCTCTAAATAACCTTCTCTGGTCCGTGCTGTTCTCAGTTATGAAGTTTGTATAGTATGCACAACGAGCCTCGTTACTCAAAAACGTCACTCGATTTCTCATTGCGCGATAGGATAGTAAATCGATGTGTGCTTTAGAAGCCCTCCATTTCCTTTCAGCTTTCCTCCGTTGACGTTTAGCCAATATAATTTCATCATTCATCCATGGAACACGAGATCTAATAGTAACATTCTTTTGCTTAACAGGAGCGTGCCGATCCAGCAGGGAACGCAATGTATTGTTGAATAAGGCGGCCAGCTCGTCAGGATCTTCAGTATCCGTTTGAAGAAGCTCGCTGTTACAGATTTCATCCGCAAAAGCAGACTTATCAATTGATCGCAACTTCCTAAATGAGACACGCCCAACTTTGAGAGGTGGTCGAGGTGTTTTCAGTTTGAAAAGTAACGCTAGATGATCCGAAAATAGAATGTCAGGCGCTGGTCGACCGCTAATAAGGTTGTCTGACTTTCGAGTAATTACCAGATCTAGTGTATGACCAAGTTCATGCGTTGGTTCTGTCACATGTTGAGTTAAAGACATTGACTCCAATAAATCCAAAAAGCGACAAGCAGCTGAATCATTGTGATCATCAACATGGATGTTAAAATCGCCAGTTAAACACAGGACATCGTTAGATAGGATAACAGATTCAAGGTACTCAGAAAATTCGTCAATAAAACTGTTCACAGTCACAGGATGATTAACAGAGTACGGCGGTCGATAGATGATTGCCAATCGAAAGCGTAGGGAGCCAGTGCAGACAAGGTATTCAGAAGATTCAAAGGAAATCCTTGAAACAGTTTCGAGCTTGGAAACATTGATGTTATCTCTGAACAAGAGGGCCGTACCTCCACCTCTACGATCACCCCTAGGGCAGTGTAACAGTTTATAGCCAGCAGGAGTTATCTCGTAGCACACAGCGGAGTCGTTGTCTGATAACCAAGTTTCAGTTATTGCAACTAGGTCGGCTTTGCATTCGCTGACATAATCAACAAACAGTGCAGATTTGTTTGAAATAGAGCGAGCATTTAACGTGCACATGGTCAGCTGAGTGTTCGATGTACTCAAATGGAGATCAGATACGCGGTTTACCTGCACAACGTTGGAGCGGTGGCTATGATGATGGCTTCGATGTTTAACTGCTCGACGATTTGTTGTAAAAGACGTAATTAGTGGACCAGGGTTCGGGCTGATGTCGCCACTCGTTGTTAAGCGAAGACGCGTTAGGTTAAAGGAGGAAACGGAGTTCGGAGTATGAGATATCCGAGCAGTGAAGTAGCGATGCGATCTTGTTGAAGATGAAAATCCAAGATGGCGGAACAAACGCATCGACGACGAGCAACTTGCACGGTATAAATCCACTTCATTAGTGGTCTTTGTAACTCCAGAATCATCAAGGGCATAAGATGGACAGAAAATGAGCGTATTTAGATAAATTAAAGAGCGACTTAAACAACAGAACAGATATAGATAAGTGACTATGGCGGAGCCGAGAAAATTACGACTGACCGCCATTTCGAAAAACTCAAAAAACTCAGTTGTTAACACTAAATTACCTGCTATACTCTCCCACCGACGCAGCACCACAGTTTCTTCAGAAACTTACCCCCTTTACACGATTTGTTATAGTTTGGCATTTGATTGGTTGGTAGAGTGGCCCAATTTTCCCGACCAATCACAAAACGAAGTAAGGCAAAACCAAAACGGGATTACTTGGGACCCTCAAATGGGAACTGCTCTATCAAGTTATTTCTAGGATAATTAGTAAGTTGTCTGATTGCTTAGGTTTAGGGTTTGGTTAGGCAACAATAATATCAAAGAATTAACTGATTTTTTTTCATAATAATCAATTAAGTTCAGAAGTAGGGTTTAGCGTTAATACTGTTCTTAATGGTGTGAGCAGCTTTGTACCAATATTGACTCGGTAGGAAAAAAGTAGAAATTATTCCATGGTAAATTCACGACACAAAACAAACTAACCGCAGCACATGATGCTTCCTGTATCATGGAATTACTTTGAATCATAATCATTCAGATTGGGAGCTTCTGTACTCATACCTCTAAATTCTTCCATAACATGGAGAGCAGCCTGACACCTGTCTTGTAACTCTTGTATTTGCTGACGCCACTTCTCCAACTCTTTTTCGGCTCCCATTGCTGTCTGATTGACGAAGAAAATAATTATTAGCAATCTACTGTGAGAATTAACAATCGTCAAGCGATACACAGGTCTTAGAAAACACTGTGAAGTTGATTACTCTTTCAACCACTTAATTGCCCTACATATCCTTGGAAAACAGGTTGTTCCGAAATAGGAAGACATGTTGAAGTTAATTAATCTCCCAACCACGTATATACCTATATCTTTTTTTCTAAGTTCAAAGATAGATATGTTTACATTTGGCAAGTATAACATATAAGAAGTTGTAAGCTTAGCAAATATGCCACTTAACCCTTTACACCCTAACACCAGTACACAAACTCTCCATACTGTTCTCTTTACTTTTCCTTTGGTGCCAACAAGGAGAATTTGCTTAACAATCAGTATCTTCTTTAGTTAGTGATCATTTACTTTATTCTTCTTTCTTCAATATGTGATTCAGGGGTGTTATTGTTGGGAGAAAATAGTTGCTAGTCACTCTTAGGGATTGAAGGGTTAATGTTAACTTACTGAGTCTGCTCTCTTCTGGGTATTGTTTTCCTTCTCTCTTTCTTCCTCCAACTTTTGCTCATTTTCCTTGAGAGCATTCAACCGTTTCTGCAGTTCTTCCTGTTCTTTTCTATTCTGCTGTAATTTTTGGCACAAGTTCTGGTCTCTCTGTGTGTACTTTTTGAGGGCAATCTCAGCAGACTCACGTAGGGTGTCGAGGCTTTCAGCTTTAATTTTCAAAAGAAAGTAATGTTACATTTGTTTTTTGTAATTTTGGCTGGATTACGATATTAATCATCCGTTAAGAAAACAAGTTAAGCAACTTATTTATCAACTAAATGATCAATTATTAGCTGTAATGAATGATTGAATCAATGAATGAATAATTGACTGACTGACTGGCTTGCTCACTGACTGACTGACTGGCTTACTCACTGACTGACTGACTGGCTTACTCACTGACTGACTGACTGGCTTACTCACTGACTGACTGACTGGCTTGCTCACTGACTGACTGACTGGCTTGCTCACTGACTGACTCACTCACTAACTGATTGATAAGCTGACTTACTGACTGACTGGCTGATTGGCTAACTGGCTGATAGGCAGAATTACCAACTGACTGACTGGCTGTCTGACTCACTGAATTATTTGCTCTGATGAAGGGCTAATTCTCTAAATGTCAGCTTTGAAACTCTTGACAGTGGTCAATTTACATTATCAACTCAGTTCATAAAAGCAAAATGACTTTTTGCCTGACTGACCAAATTTGCTGTCTGAGTGAATGACTTACTATCTGACTGATTGAATGGCTGACTAAGTGGCTGAAAAATGGCTGACTAAGTGGCTGGCTGACTCACTGACTGACTGACTGACTAAATACCTGATTGGCTTCTTGGCCATCTGACTGACTGATTGACTGACAGTCTGACCTGCAGACAGACTAGCAGGCTGGTTTGCTGAATGGTAGCAAAATATGTATGGTTACTGATTGAAGGATTCCCAAATCAGAGTGCTTTGTGAATGAAAAGTTTACATTAGTGGTTGATTGCTTGAAAGATTTGCTAATGATGTACCTATCTTAGCCACATCAGCTTCACAGTTGTCACTCATTAATTTCAGCTCCTCAATTTCTCTGTTAATTTCTTGTTCAAGTTCTTCACTTTTGTTGAGAAACTTCTGCAAAGTCTGTGCCTCCTCTGTCTTCTTCTGTCTCTCTAGTACTTTTTTGACATCTTCCTTTCCTTTTGTCATGGCTTGTTCTGTAATGTAACAGATGCTGCATTTAGAGCTAAAGTATATTTAATATAATGCTCAAGTACTATCAACTGTGTGAAACATGTAATGTAATGGTATACAAACAGGTTGTGAAGTAATTGTCTACAATTCTCTATTCTTCTTAGTCATGATGATGCTGATCTATAAATAGAATATTAAATACTGAACCAGAAATTTGTTCTAGACCATTCTAGACATTAAGCTTGAGTGGTTCTTACTAGGTAAGTTATCAATAAAGCTGTTTTGTAGACCAAAAGTGGTTAGTACAAAAGTTGATAAAAGACCAAGTGTATTCCTTTATCAACTCACAGGACAAGTTCAAATTTCATAAATTATTAGCTTGCCAATAAAGAGATGCATGCTTTTGGTTTATGCATTACTTTATGCAGGTTAATGACCCCAAAAAACAATTTGGTAGTGGTAATCAATTCTTAATATATCCATGAAAATAATAATAATACAATAATAATCATAATGATAAAACTGTAGAGGATTCCTCCAAAATGGTTCTAGATTTAATGATTTATTTTTTCATTTACCAAGTAAAGTAACTCCTTCCTCTCTCTTGTCAACAGCTCTGTCCATCTCTGTCTTTTTAAGGAGATCATATCTCTCCCTTTCACATCTTTTGAAGTCTGCCAAGGCCTCCACAGTATCATCTGAAAGCTCAAACTTATCTGCCACTCCATGACAGGCCTCCAGAAGAACAGCAAAACAGGATCCCAGCAATTCTGTTACTGCATTCAGGGAAGTTGAATTCTTTGCAGCATAATCAATGGCACCCAAAAGTTTTTCTTTGTAACAAAACCAAACAGCCATTTGAGAAAAGGAAATGCAGAAATACCACAAGTTGCAATCTTATGAGTACATTCCTTTATGGAGAAAAGTTTCAAATTTACTAAACTTGATTTTCTCTAGTTTCAGTGAAAAGAAAGCCTAGAGATGGATGTGGTTAATATTTCAGATTATCTGGGAAACTTGTGCCCTTGGTACTTGACAGGACCCCTGGCACTGGTTGCCCACATAATCACAGTAATCTACCTGCTGTTAAAAACATTTGGACTTTCCAGCTAAATCACATTTTTGTGTATGCTATCAATAACACTGTTTCTATTAGACAGTTCTGTTTCTAATCACAACAGTTACAATTTCCTCAAATGTGAATGGTGCATTAGCTACTTTATTTTTTGTTATTCTGTAAAGTTGTAATTGGACAGTTAGCTGTAATCAGACACCTTTGAGAATAATCCAGAAGGTTTTCTCCAAAGACTCATTTGAGATTGCCTAGGGAGGACTGGCTATCATGAAATGAAATTGTGTTTTTATGATGCATTAGAAGTCATCTGATGCAAAGATGATTGGTGCAAAATGAATCTTGGCACTAAAATACAATGATTCCTTTTTGCAATATGTTATAGAAATGTAAAAGGTTTCACTGATAAAGATTTGAACTTCTTTGTGCACAACACTGTACAATAAAGTGAATTGTAGAGGAATGTAGGAATAACATAACACAATTACAGTTGAGATAATTTGAAATCAAATGACTTCTTAAGAATCTTAATCAGAAATCAATATACCGTTAATTACTGAGCACATCTTTTCTCTTATTCAATCATACATACCATTGACCTCTTTTACAATATGATGGAAATCAGCAAAATCTGGATTTTCAAGAATTTCAGAAAGTGTTGTCATGTGTCCCTTGATCTGTTCATCTTTGAGAAAATAACAAAAAAAATTTTTCTTTTGTCATGCTCTGCCTCAGGAAGTTTTGAGCTTCAAGGGAAACAAAATTGGCTGTTTCTGGAGGGGTCTGCAGTCATTAAGTGATTTGTTAAATATTAGCTCAATAAAGACACTAGATGATGGAAAGTGACTGAAAACAAGGCAAAAATTTTTACTAAATCATGGGTAAGTGTATGAGATTGTAAAATGCTTCGATGCAAAAATTCAGAGCCCCCTTTAATCACCCTCTTTTCACATGTTGGTCAACATTGTTGGCATCTTAAACATTGCACTGTTTCTCTCTCTGGTCATAGATTCTGCAATGCTACTTGCCCAGAGACGTTTAAGGAGAAACAGTTTTATTACATGTTATGTGATCCAAAATAACTGAGGAAGGAGCATGCACTGTTAGGGAAAAATTCCAGCTATTCAATGAACATACATTGCTGACCATGTCTGAGATCAAGATGGCTGAATGATGGCCGGTCAGTTTTGGGTTTTTATGGACTATAAGATGAAGTCAAGGTTAGGAAAAAGTGCTAAAAAATAAAGAATAGCAAGGCATATTTATTCAAGCTTCTTGACTAAATCAGCTAGCTTGGTTGTAAAGGATTTACAATTAAGGAAAAAGATTGCACCATGGAATTGCCAAACAAATTCATGAATCTTGAGGTGATTTTGTATGTATTGACTGTTTCAGGATGTGTTTGTGACTTCATTGTTGCCTAAACTGCCAGAAAAGTCTCTTTTCTTAAGTTGGGTTTCCCATAAGTTACAAAACATTTAACTCAAATGTATAAACACAAGCAAGGTGAAAAATCCATTCTGTGTTGTGATTGGTTACCCAAGTGGCTATAAATGAACAATTACTGGGGTTACCAAACACAACACAGCATTTGCTTTGTTTTGCTTCCATGCTGAGCTTAACTATATGATTAAATACAATCTGGAACTCTCTCCCTCTGAAAAATGACCAGTCCTAAAATCTAGAAAGGATCTCTTCTCACCCAAAACAAATATATGATGATGCATCAAAATGAATAATGATTAAATAATTTAAAAAATATAATAATAACAACAATATTAATAACAAAAATGAGCATCCTACATTTTTAGAATCAATACAAATACATTGATCAAATTTACCAATTTTTGGACGTGACTGCACTTTGTTCCTACTGGCGTCAAGGCCCTCTTGATTACTAAAGTACAAACGCCCCTTGGTGTTTTTAGGGAGCACTTGTGCCTGTTAATTAATAAAAGAAAAGTGATTTGTAACCCTATTATACTTTTAACATTTTGGGATTATAAATATTTTTTAATTACACGATCTTGTACAACTATTTAAAAATTTGGAAATTAAGGTGGCTCATAGCCCTTTTTTTTTTTTTTTTAATTTATTCTTTTGATGAAGTCATCATTCCACCTTGGCTCATTTTTTCCTTGAAGAATGATATTAGCAAATGCTAAATTACTGCTAGATGAGTAGTGATAATTTTATTTTGATAGAAATGATTACCATAAGAATAGGGCTGCCTGTTCTAAATGGGTGCAAATATAACATGTTACTCAGTCTACCATATGTGAATTTTGATGAACATAGTAATGAGTTGATAAAGATGGTCTGAAAGCATTTTGGAACTTTTAACTGAGATTTAAGAAGGAAAACTCTGAAAGTAAAACATAGAAGTGTAGAGAGACCAAAACAGGTAGAAAAAAATTCAGCTCTGTTTCTAGACTGTGTTTCATTTTGAATGTGGCGATAGCTGATTCTGATTCGATACTTGCTCTAATTTTTCAGTTGTTGACCAAAAATTAGGTACAAAGAGATTATATAAATCTAAGCCAACACTAAAATGAATCACAAATGTTCAAAAATAATACTCAGAGTAGAAGCATCAGATATTGTTGATAAACTAGCCATAGTTAACTCCAGTAAAAAAATTACAACTATTTATTAGATCATAACAAATGAACAGAGATTCCAACCCTCCCGATTTGATCGGGAGTCTCCCGATTTGATGTCTTGCCTCCTGCTCTCCCGATTTTTACCAAATTCTCCCGATTTATCATAAAATTCTGAAAACTAGGGGAAAATTGCTAATCTTTAGAATTTTTGGCGATCTGTCACTGTGAAACACTCATATTATACTTACTTTCTTCGCGAAGAGCATTATGGTATGTTATAACTCAGGCCGGAATGATGTCAAAATTCAGGAAATGGCACTTGAGAGAACCTAAATTTGCAAAATTTCCCGGGGGCATGCCCCCTGACCCCCCTAGAAGCTTGCGCCTTTGGCACTAATAATTACTCCCTATTTTCCATCACATGGGGTTGGAATCTCTGAATGAAAGCGAGAAACAAAACAGTAAATTCTACCTCTACAATGTCAGTTCTCTCTGATTCAGTTTCCTGGCTGCTGGCATTTGTTTCCAGAGAGCTATTGACCAGTTCAATACTCTCATCACCATTTGCGGCATCATAAAACACCATCTGGCTTTCGATAGTACAGTTCACTAAAATATGACAATTATATCACCAAGATGGTAAAAATAAAGTAGAGTCACTCCATTCTGTTTTTTTTTTTCATTAATCTTATCAGTATTTATTTTTAAATATATTTAATATAAAATTTAAATATATTTTAAAGAGTTCAAGTAAAATAAATATAAGTATTAGAAGACGTAAAAGCCATAGGGACAATCTGTGAAATAGTAAATAACCATAGATGTGAATTCAGTTGAACATTATACCTTCAGAAGGAGAAATTGGTTCTGCCATCATACCAAACATGTCAAAAGTTATACCGTAATGATATACAGTAGTTTGAGTCACATGACTTATAACTTGACACCCCCCCCCCCCCCCCCCCCCCCTAATTACTGTTAAAATTTGTGTTTAAACCAAAACACATGGCTGGTAATCAGGTACTTGGCGACGAGGATTAACTCTAAATTCGTACCGGAATGGCAACCTACGGAAAGATAGTTGAATCCAAAGAATCGGAGGAGTCGTGGGCCCAATATATCGAGCGTTTAGAACAATATTTCCGAGGGAACGACATCGAAGATGCGGGGAAAAAAGCGAGCGAGTCTACTTCAGCCAGCGAGACCCGCGGAGACAACCATTTTTAAAAAGATCGTCGAAACTCTAGAAAAGCACCATTTACCCAGACCAAGAGAGATGGTGGAGCGTTTTAAATTTCACAGCCGTTATCGCAAAGTAGACGAAGGAGTGGCGACGTATGTGGCAGCATCGTGTAAGCTCTCGGGACATTGTAATTACGGCGAAACTCTGTTAGAAATGCTTCGAGATCGTTTAGTCTGTAGTGTAAATAACGAAAAAATTCAGCAGCGATTGCTAGCCGAGCTGGATTTGACTCTCAAGAAGGCCGAAGAGATTGCCTTGGCGATAGAATTGGCTTCTGTTATGGGAAAATTCACTGATTTTTCCGTGTGTTTGTTTGGAAGATATTTACGCATAAACTTTTCATGTTTTACCATTTCCGATTTATTCAAGTTCTTTTGCTCTAGTTAAAAAAAAAAATAGGAAAGCCGCGGTAGTTTTGAATTACCAACTATGACAATTTGCTTGTTACTTTGCCTTCATCATACACCTGTATGTCAGTACTTTGATGACCATTACTGTTGAAATTGCGTGTAAATAAAAGTGTTACTGCTCTTCCTGGAAATATACATATAAGTGCTGATGATCTTTGTGGAAAATTGAACATGATCATAGGTATACTTCACAAGGAGTTTGGCCTGCCCAATTCATTGCTCGATAACTGGCAGCCTAAGTCACTGCTCACTGGTATCAATCGATCTAAAGGGTTAACAAAAAGTCAGAAACAGCCCATCTCGCCCTGTATGTTCTTAAGGCTCCATGATTGGCCTAACTTGGAAAGTAGCTCCAAGGCCTCCTTTTAGGCTATTTGTTTTAAACCAGGTATTAAAAAAAACCAAATTCCTCTTTTTAGCAATAAATGAGTCTCCATTTTTCTGCTAAATTCACCTGCCTTTACCATTTTTTTTAACAGAGTTCCTGGCCATGTCTGCATCAAAGTGAAAAGGTACTAAATGGAATATTCAACTTCATTGAATCTACTTATCAAAATGTCAGTTATGTTCAAACATCAATCATTACAGGCTTACTGATTACACCATGGCTTATGACCCATCATCAATTTCTAATAACAATTTAATTTGTGTTCCTTTTTTACAGTAGTCACTATATAACTTTCATTTATATTTTCTTACACCTTAAGCTTAAGAATAATAATTTCTATATTTTACTCTCCATATATTTTATATGCCTCCTTTTTATACAGTGTAATGCGCAAGTGAGCATCTTCTTAAGGAACCTTGTGTAATGTAAATTTCACAAATTTTTTGTTTTTTAAAACAAACATAATCAGGTTACAGTTGAAGAGAATACAATTTTGAAAAGTATATTACACAAATTCCCCAAAGAAATGAGTATACCATTTTTAAATTTAATTTAATAAACTTGACAGCCTTGGATAGTCTATACTCTATCTCTCTCTCTCTCTCACTCCAGTGGTTGTAATCCAGTATAATTAAGACACTATACTCATCAATATTTTTTCCTCCTAATTTAAATACTGATCCTGGTAATATTCATAAACTGTCACCAAGAAAGAAGGTAAAATCAGCAAATGAATATTTCACTTTTCACCTCTAAAGATCAAGTTCTCGATTTGCCAAAGTAGATGGCGTTGATCGTAAAAATCATCAACAACCACTCAACTATTGTCAAGGCTAATTCAGGTGATATTCTCTTTGAAAGCACAAAACCATCAACTGACTCACCAAGCAACTCCAACCTGCCAAAGGGTAATGCTATTGAAATCTCACTCAGTCAGCTCAACTTGTGAACCACAAATCAAAGATTGAATGGTAAAGGAACAATCACTATGGGAGATACTTAAACCAAAAGAAGTAACAAAGAGAAATGGAAAGCCAGGCCTTGTTAAAGAGAACTGTGTCACTGACGACCAAACTGGTCATACAATAATCCACTTGTAGGATGACATGATTGAAAAATGCAAAAGCTCAAGCAGTTATTACATCACAGATCTAAGCGTAAAGAACTACAATGGGCACACACATCTTGGTTCAACAAGTGACACAACAATCAAAGAAATCGACATGTATGTTGACAACCCTCAAGGACCACAGCTGGTTACCAATATACAGAAGTTCATCTTTACAGATAAAGTGAGTGTTTTTGTGACCTGCTAGATCCACAGTTGTAAAAAGAAAATGCCATATACAATTGGATCTCCTGTCTTCACATATGCCCAAGTAATGTGGCACATGCCAGAAAGTCAAAGGGGTGAAAAAGGGTGCTACCGCTTGAGTATGTGTTCAAATTTAAGCGAAACAAGTATGGCTTACAGCCTTTACTGATGTGATGGAGTATTAATTTACTAGTTAAAGTACACTTATCAATTAATGACATTTCTCAATAAATCAAAGTAGCGGCTCTACTGACAATGGAAAAAATAACATTTGGTATTGATTCTGTGTGAAACTTCAGCTTGGAAGTTAAAGAAAATGATGAATTAATTATTTGGATTAGCAGACACTATTGGGTTGACTCATGTTCTGTTGCATTAACATCCTTTAGATATTCAAAGCAAAAGGAAATTGTTATGGTTGATAATAAAAAAAAATTATATATTGACAATGGAAAATATAACATTAGTTTTGGATTTCAAGTAAAACTTAATCATGGAAGTTAAAAAATACGATGCCTGAACTGTTTTATTGACTTCTGCACAGTTAATTGACATACAAAGCAAAAGGAAATTGTTATTTCATTGTGAAATACATGTTAGTTTGAAAGTCAAGTAATAGAACTACGTGACAAGTTGTAATTCTCCATGTAAAATTCTTGTTTCTTTCTTGGGATCCAATGAAAACAACCCTGGTTCATTCACTGGTTTGAATGTACAAATTATTTTTATTTCTTTGGGTTATTGGTAAGCAAGATTATTTAGCATAACATGCCAAGTTCAAGTTTTGTTAAAATAAAAATGTTGTCATATTATGTTTGATCTTTTTAATGATTGATACTCTAAATAACCCTACAGACACTACAAAAAAGCTCATTTAATTGCTATAAGTTAGAGCTTTGATGCCCCAGTATCTTTAAGTCCACAGCCTTTAATTCATGAGTTTTTCAACTGATTTCCAGTACAAACTGCGCAGTCTCGTTTCTCAATGGTTATGAAGACATACGAAGGAATGTTTGCCTGCCAGTATAAAAATTCAGGGACAAACCTACCTTTCCCTTCATTATTGACCCCAAGTATCTTTGCCAAACAAAAACGAAAAGAAGAGCCTCGACCCTCTCCCAACCGACATTTTAGCCCATCGAATCTCGAACGTAAAGAACTTAATGGCGGATTCAGAAAACTCATGTATTCTATTACCGGTGTAACGTATAATGTCACAATTACCCCGAGATTGTCTTAGAAAGATCAGTTTGTCTTGATCGCGGACTGTAAGAACTTAAAATAACTAACTTGACTTAAAGCATCTTTTTATTTTTGTACGTCTGAAGTTGATGTTACTTTGCAGATTAAAACAAAGAAAAGATGGTGCACAGTATACTTCTAAAAATTGCATAAAATTTTGTTGTAAACAAAACAAATGAATTACGATCTGTCTGGATTCGTCTTTCCACAAGGGAATATTTTCCACAAATGGTTATTTCATTATGTTACAATCCAAGGGGAAGGTCTTGTTTGCACACATATGATCAAATCGATGTTTCATTCAGGGACTGAAGCACACTGCACATAGACTGTTTGCTTTTTAGGTTTACCGATTAGTGCTAAACCATGAACATTGACGAAATACGAAGAAGCGTGTAAAGATAATTTCGATTCATGGCGTGACTTTTCTAGACGTCTTTCAATTAAATTCACGCTATTAAATGATCGATGAAAGTTGAAAGTGAACGGAGATAATTCAAAGAGTTAGAAAAAAGATAACTGGTCGGCGCGCTTGACGGTTTGACTGTTTGTCGCTCAAGTGAATGACACGAAGTTGTTTGAAACACGCATCGTAAAAGGAGACGTTCGCTTGGTTAAGCGATCGATTTTATCAAACTTTGGTGACTTTAGAGGCGATGCTTTGCAAAATTTTCAAGTTGTGGTTGCAAAGCTCAGGCTTTGAGACGCGAGCTCGATTCAGTAAAATTATTTCCTGCGAAAACACAATCGCTTTAACCCTCACATCTTGCCTCTATCCCGGAAGTAAAAAACACTAAATTTTCATGCATTTTAAGTTTATAGAAAGACGTAAATTGTAATCAAAGTAAAGGTCATAGCTATAAGAAACGAAGGAATCATTTCAACTTACTTTTGCTTTGTCTTCCTTTCTGCTTCTTGGTCTTAAAATGTGGGCAATGGTAAACAGCAGTCTCTATTTGTAATATGACTACAGCAAATTTCGGGGAAGCCCCTCGAACTCCCCTTGCCCAATGCTGTTGTTGTGAGAAAATAAAAACCATCTTTAACAGCACCTGTGAATTGATCGATAAAAACTGGCGTTCAGGGAAAAAAACCACAGTTTATTAGCACAAAGTTATTCAATTGATTTTATCTTGTATCCTTAAATGTATTTTGTGACTATCTCCAACGTTATTGCTCACATAATTTAATATGGATGAAGGTGCAAACTAAATTCTCATAACTTGATTCTTCGAAATCCAAATTTAGGAGTGACAACATAGTTCGCAACTGAACTTTAACCAGCCAGTGAATGAACGGGTAAATAATAAGTTTGACTTCGTTTTCTTAATTTCCTTACTCCCATATCGTTTTTTAACAGACGCTAACAATTATTGAACAACTAAGAATATTGTCGCCCTACCACCCATATGTTCGCGTGACGACGCAAACAAACCAACTTGCTCTTGGTTACGTGATAAACTTTGCAGCGCACATTTTTCTTTTAAATTCTGAAGTTATTATAATTCGCAACTTGTTTTCTTTATGCGAAGATGAAAGCATGTGTTTCCAATATTATGATGGAGCATGACGAAGAATACTTAGTTTTTTGGCAACATCAGCAGCTTCCGAAGAGTAAGGAGAAGCGGCTGATTCTAGCAATATTTTATCTTGGGGGTAGGGGAGGGGGTGAGTGCAGAGGTGGGTTTCAAGAAGACCTAAACGACCTAAATAGAACTTGCATGCAAGATCGACCTGAGCTAGGGACTCAGTTTTCATTGGATTGTTTTGGAAGTCATAAAAAGTTATCTTGATTGTGTAGTTGTTAGTGTTCGTCATGCGTGAAACTCAAAATTTTAAATTTTGTTCGTAATGTTATTAACATGTACCTGTCAAACATATTTTGTTTTCAATTAATTTTTTCATTGGCCACTAAACATTCCAAGCTCTCACGCATTATAAATATTCTACTCCCGCCGCATTAAGGAAACTTCTGCAATATATATATTTTTTTCACGCTAAAAGTCACAATCCCTTCGACGTTTGGGTTTTAAGGGGCTAGGTGCTCCTCTCGATCCCTAGTCGACTTGATACGCCCTAAAAAGTCAGTGATGTTAAGTTTAACAAATCATTTTTACTATGCACCCACTAACAATAACTGTCTTCACAGTTATGAAGCCATGTAGGAAAATCATGGGGTTAGGAATTATAAGGCATACATATCAGATATATTCTCAATGCATGAAAGAGATAAGATTGGAGCATAACAAAGCTGAGCAAGAACATATCTATCTGAAATAAATAACCTTCGCAACAAGCTATCTGTATTGAAACTTGGTAAATTTTAAAAACGGGGAAGGAGAGAGATTAATTTTGAGATCGGGCTAGAATCACTTGTACCAACGGGGGCTTGGAAGTGGCGGCCTGCATACAGTTACCTTCCCCTGTACTCCCACCCCATCCCCCTCAGTACAGGGCCAATCAGCCTTGTTATGACGGAAAGCGATGAATTGCACATCCTGCATCAGTTCTAAGAAGAAAGTGAAAGAAAATGGCAGTTTCGGAGGTTTGTGGGGATACGAGTATCAACTCAAGTTTCATGGGTGAAGTGATGTCTTCATACAATTCACATGAGGATAGAAACAATCTTTTGGATGAGGTCGATCGAAGCCCTCGCTCACCGAATGCGATAAGACCATGCTTCTACATATTACAGATCTTGGGCATGTGGAAACCTAAAAACGGCAAGTTTGAATTTTTATGGCAAGTTTATCGGGTGTTTGTGTATATCGTCTGGTCAGGATGTCTCGCATCTATTATGTGTTTGGATTTTGTTCACTATGGCTTTAATACGAAAAGGATTCATTTCAGGGAAGTCACGAATAGCGCTTGTACTTGCATCGATTTCCTGTGCCCTTTCGTGTTCACTCTGTATTATTTCAACCGCGGTCAGTTTGTAGAGTTGGTCTTCAAAGTACAGAATGTTTCTCATGGGTGGAAGCAGAAGTTACGCCGTATTTCTCTCTGGTACACTCTGATGTCTGTTATTCTCTGGGTGCTCTGTGCCACATTTTTCATGGTTCACTGGTTTCCGTTCTTCTCTGAGTGGTGGCACTACGCAGTTTACATACCCGCGGTTGTTTACATCGCAGGCTGGTGGGCAACATGGCTCAGTATCTATGGATTTGTTTGCCATGTCCATAGTCTACAAATTGATACCGTTATAGAACATATGAGGATGAGAGAACGCCGGCCAATTTCCATTTTACGAGAACACTTTGAGCTTCAGCAATCAATAGAGAAAACGCAGAAAGATTTCACTGTCATCATTTCTATGGCTGTAGCATATCATATATTGGATTTGCTAGTTTTTAGTTTTGCGTATTTTAATTCAGCCTTTGGTAGCGACTACCCTATCTGGCAATATGTCGGTACTGTACTTTTCGATTTGCTTAGTATTATTTTCAAGCTCTACCCTCCGGCTCTTGTGGCAGCAGCATCACATCGCATAGTTGTAGAGGCTTCAAAAGGATGCAGGAGAAGCCTCCACTCGGCAGACCTACCTACAGAAGATATACAGTTATTCCAGTACATGGCACTGTGCGAGCCAGACATGGGTCTCAAAATTCTTGGAATTCGTATCACTGTAGAATTAACAGTGAAGATTCTTATGACAATTGTCACTGCTGGTGTATCATTTATAGCTTTTGTTATACCTCGGCTCAAGTAGATGAATTATTCCATGCTGTTTTTTTTCTACAGTAGACTCATTCAGCAAGTAAAAATGTATTAGTTTTCTGTGAACAGCCATAATGTTGGATACCTTAACGCCGAAGGAGAGGTAGATGGACTCATTCCGAAAGCGCAGTTTTTCAGCCAAGCCAGAATAAATTAACTTTTTACCCCTTTTTAACTCGTGAATTGCGCGCATGCGCAAGAGCGAGTTGTAGATACGATGAGGGGAATGGCACTCGCTCGCTCGATTGGTCGTTTCCCGTAAACTTTTTTTCGATTTTAGTTTCAACAAGCGGCGCCAGCGACTGGCAGGCATGTAAGGATTCACACTGAAATAACAGAACAACCTTCGTTTTTCATATAATTGTAATTTACAATCCTTGAACTTGAAAACAATCCGAAGATTCATTGAAAATATCACTTACTGCGAAGCGCTCGGAGTTTACAGATGTTCAAAAGCTTTTTCTATTACGGCGTGAGATTGAGGACAAAATCGATCATTACGTTTCGTGTCGTGTGTTTTTCCTGTTGATAAAGAGGGAATCGTTAATGTTTTCATTAAGAAAGTATTGCCTTGATTTTCTAATATTTACAATGAGAGACAGTAAATTTACTTCCAACCTTTTCTTTTGAACCAGAAACAGAAATGATAATCGTTTAAAACACATGACATCATCCACCCTTGTCAAATGCAATAACATGATCATTTCAATTGTAATGCCTTCTCATCCCAACGTTACTTAGTTTCTTTGCTACATTAGCGAACACTGAACTACTGCTCGTACTCCACTGAGATATGACAATCAACCACAAAATTCCCTAAACCAGATAACATTAATCCAAAAAATCATGTGTCAATTCACGAGTTTGCTCACAGAGCGCTTTGATTTTTTTCAACATTAAAAATTGTGATAATTTCTTCTGCGAAAACAAAATTAAAGATTGTTATTAAATTTTATAAATGATGTACATTTCAGCATTCCAAAGATCTGATTTTTTCGAACTTCCGTGATGTCTTCACATTAAAGAATCGATCTCTGCGCAGTCTTCTCAGAGATTCAAAAGCACGGTTGATCAAATTTAAAACTCAACACCTTGCCGAAGCCTGTTAGATGTCATTTTCGGCTCGACCGTAAAGGAAAGACCATTCATTTTCTAGAGACCTTGACACATTTATTTTCATTTACTTTCAGCAGCTACTTGTTTTTGCCCACAAAGGTTGCTCAGGGTTTATGCCTGGCCTTCTTAAAGAATTTATGGTAAAACGCGAGACTAAGTATAGTTAAACAAGTAATAAAGAAAATCCCCTCTGAATTTTACACATTTTAATTTGTTTGTACCTTAAGTAGGTAGAATCTTAATCATATATTAGTATTTTTAATTGCTACTGTATTTTAATGTTGGTAGAATCTTTATCATATATTTGTTGTTTTAATTACAACTGTAATTTTCTTTTCTTGTCAGACTAGACACGACCATATCAGCTACGCTGTAATTTTATCATGCATAAATAAATGCCTTTATTATTATAATAATACGCATGAAAAAATACTTATTACCTTTTCTTCCTATTATCGTTAAAGTCTCTCGGATTATGGTGTTTCCGAAACCTCCTCTTTACCTGGATTACCTAAAAACCGAGAAAGAAAATTTGGGACAACTACAGCATCATGAACCAACGCACGTACAAAAAAAAGCGCACTTTCATAAATTTGTGCTCTTCTCCCAACCATCTCCCCCCTCCCCCCTCCCCGTCCCTAGGCCTGTCCCGATTGTGCTCGGCAACTTTTGAGCAATTTTTTCAGTTTTGGGCAACCTCGAGTATTTTTTCCCTTTCTGAGTACTTTTTGTTTAAAGTATGGATTTAGAGGACATATTAAGCATGAAAAAGCCAACGATTTCATAGAAAACTTAAATTTTCTCGATTTTGTCTAAATGTTTTTCAACCTTTAGAACACACAACCTATTACTTGACAACGTTTTGCGATCCTTATCTAATACGTAAAACGGATAATCGGCTAAAATGACGCACAAAAAGGCCGTCTTCGTTTCTTTACTTTTCACGAACGCAAATGGATGGTGCGAGGTCGCCTTTATCGTTTACTTTATCGCCAATGCATTTGGCTCACAGTAAGAGTCCACCCTCCAAGATTACCTCGAAGCCTTTGTCAGGCTTCGATATAACAATGCAAAAGAGTGTACCATTTTGACTTCTCATATACCGGTAGTTTTAGACTCTTAGAGTGCAATCAGTATAATGTTAGTTTAGTTTAAGGTCCTTCATATCGTTTGGCAAGACTTAAATGAATCATGTGTTTCGTTCCGTTATACTTGATAGAGGTCTCGATAGTATTCTTCAATATTGTCCTTATTTGGTCTTTAAAGCTAAATTTCCAGCTACCTTTCTCGACTAATATTGGCAGTTATTGCGAAGAATAAAAGTTAAAGCATTTCATTAACATTTATTTAAAAACATCAAGAAATCTAGGTTGCAACTTTGGAAATTTAGGTAAGAACTTTTTGGATTTTAGGCACTTTTTAAACATTTTTTGGCATTTTAGCATTTTACGAGCACAATCGGGACGGGCCTTCTCCCAGAACCCATGTTGAAAATAGCTGGAGCCCAAGGAATGTCCTCGGGATTCTTTTCAACATTGCAAAAAAGAGAGGGTATGCTTTCTACCAAATCGTTTCAAGTTTTATTTTTTTTTCAATCACTTTATCCTTTGGACCTCAAGTAGTCTATGTTTAGTATAAATTTCATGACGCATACATGACACATTGCCTTGCTTTTTTTTTTTTGAGTGGATGACCTCATCTCTGTCCAGACTAAGTAGGTAGTTTTCAACGTTGCGCGGGTTTATGAAACAAAATTGAATAATACTATAAGGAACTTTCGAAAGAGCTCAAATGGCACCTATTCTTGGTTACTGGGACATTCGAGGGGTACGCCTCACATCATAACTTGCATTTGATCAGTTTATGGCAAATAATATATTGTGCTGGTTTATTGACTCTGACGTGTACAATTTTTTTAAACATTATTTTTTGCATCGAGCAGCTGGCTGAGCCCATCCGTCTTCTTCTAAACTACACTGAATTTAAGGATGAGCGCTATGAACTTGGTGATGGTAAGGTGTCTTAAATTCTAGTGATCATTGATTACCCGCGAGTGGCGTTGAATAATCAACAGCCCAATCGCTAATGTCTCTTGCAGCTAGCCCTGTACATGCACTGTTGAATACAAAAAGTAAACTCTTAGAATGAATACATTTTATCTTTGCTCTAATTGTTTACTTTAAGTTGGAACATTTTCGTAATAAAACCAGGCACCTCTTGCATTGTCTGAACTTGTTGTCATCCGGTGACATGAAGAATCCAAACATATGAAAATCATAGATCATGCACATAGCGACCAAAGTCAAGGAATAATGACCAATAATTAAAGAAACAGTGTCAATGTTTAACGTCCTTTAGTTCCACAGATGGATATCCGGTATTTCTTTCAATCAAGAGCATCAATCTGACGCTGTTTCTTTACTATTTTACGTTCAGCTCTTGAGTACAGCTCCAAGGCTTGGACATCAGTCTAGTACACCCTGGGACTGTCATTTTCCAACGTGAGTTCAGATACCTTAAACAGGATCGTTAGGTTTGCTTCCTAGGCTGGCTCTTCTACATGGTTTACTGTCTCTATGCTAACTTGGCCAATTTATCATTGTGCAAATCTACTACAGAGCTGTAGCATGTTGTTGATTCGCCCAAAGGGTCAGTGGTGTTAAGTTTAACGAATCGTTTTTACTATGCACCCACTAACAATAACTGTCTTCACAGTTGTGAAGCCATGTACAAAAATTATAGGGTTAGGAATTATAAGGCATACATATCAGTTATATCCTCAACGCATGAAAGAGATAAGATTGGAGCATAACAAAGCTGAGCAAGAAAATAACCTCCGCAACAAGTTATCTGTATTGAAACTTGGTAAATTTTAAAAACGGGGAAGGACAGTGATTAATTTTGAGATCGGACTAGAATCACTAGTACCACCGGGGGCTTGGAAGTGGCGGCTTAAATACAGTCACCCTCCTCTGTACTCCCACCTCATTCCTCTACCGGGCCAACCAGCCTTGCGTGACGGAAAGGGATGAATTACACATCCTGGATCAGTTCCAAGAAGGGAGTGAAAGAAAATGGCAGTTTTCGAAGATTTTTGGGGATACGAGCATCAACTCGAGTTTCATGAGAGAAATGATGTCTTCATACAATTCACATGAGGACAGAAACCATCTCTTGGATGCGGTCGATCGAAGCCCTCGCTCACCGAATGCGATAAGACCATGCTTCTACATATTGCAGATCTTGGGCATGTGGAAACCTAAAAACGGCAAGTTTGAATTTTTATGGCAAGTTTATCGGGTGTTTGTGTATATCGTCTGGTCAGGATGGCTTGCAGCTATTATGTGTTTGGATTTTGTTCACTATGGCTTTGATACGAAAAAGATTCATTTCAGGGAAGTGACAAATAGCGCTTGTACTTGCATCGATTTCCTGTGCCCTTTCGTGTTCACCCTGTATTATTTCAACCGCGGTCAGTTTGTAGAGTTGGTCTTCAAAGTACAGAATGTTTCCCATGGGTGGAAGCAGAAGTTACGCCGTATTTCTTACATACCCGCGGTTGTTTACATCACAGGCTGGTGGGCAACATGGCTCAGTATCTATGGATTTATTTGTCACGTCCATAGTCTACAAATTAATACTGTTAAAGAAAAAATTAGGATGAGAGAACGCCGGCCAATTTCTATTTTACGAGAACACTTTGAGCTTCAGCAATCAATAGAGAAAACACAGAAAGATTTCAATGTCATCATTTCTATGGCTGTAGCATATCATATATTGGATTTGCTAGTTTTTAGTTTTGCGTATTTTAATTCAGCCTTTGGTAGCGACTACCCTATCTGGCAATATGTCGGTACTGTACTTTTCGATTTGCTTAGTATTATTTTCAAGCTCTACCCTCCGGCTCTTGTGGCAGCAGCATCACATCGCATAGTTGTAAAGGCTTCAAAAGGATGCAGGAGAAGCCCCCACTTAGCAGACCTACCTACAGAAGATATACAGTTATTCCAGTACACGGCACTGTGCGAGCCAGACATGAGTCTCAAAATTCTTGGAATTCGTATCACTGTAGAATTAACAGTGAAGATTCTTATGACAATTGTCACTGTTGGTGTATCATTTATAGCTTTTGTTATACCTCGGCTCAAGTAGATGAATTATTTTGCGCTGTTTTTTTTCTACAGGAGACTCATTCGGCAAGTAAAAATGTATTAGTTTCCTGTGTGCAGCTATAATGTTGGACACCTTAACGCCCCAGGAGAGGTAGATTGACTTATTCCGAAAGCGCAGTTTTTCAGCCAAGTCAGAATAAATTAACTTTTTACCCTTTTTTTTTTCAACATAAAAACTTGTGATAATTTCCTCTGCGGAAAAAAATTAAAGATTGTCATTCCAAAGATCTGATTGTTTCGAACTTCCGTGATATCTTTACATTAAAGAATCGATCTCTGCGCAGTCTTCTTGGAGATTTAAAAGCACAGTTTGATCAAATTTAAAACTCAACACCTTGCCGAAGCCTGTTAGATGTCGTTTCCGGCTCGACCGTAAAGGAGAGACCATTCATTTGCAAGACACCTTGACACATTTATTTTCCTTTACATTCAGCAGCTACTTGTTTTTGCCTACAAGGTTACTCAGGGTTTATGCCTGGCCTTCTTAAAGAATTTATGGTAAAACGCGAGATTAGGTATTGTTGGCAACCGTCTGTCTCGGAAGACAATGGAAATCTGCACCTAAGAAGTAAAATCACGTCAAGCTGCACCGCCGGCTGTGGCTGTGAAGCCCAATGCGGGAGCCGCAGACCCGCTGGCATTTGCGCAGGTTAAGTCATTTGTGGGGGTTGGTGGAATTGGGGCAGACTGGAGCCTCTGTCGCCTGCGAGTCCTCTTCACCTCCCACTGGCTCTCCCTCTTCAACTCGGCTTGTTTGACGCCGGCCTTGACAGTCGATCGCCAGAGTGTACGGTCGGCTTTATAGTTATGAAAAAAATATGTGTTTATAGATTTCAAAACCAAAGACAGATATGGTTGAGAAGTTTATCCAATAAACGAGCGCTATACTCTGGAACAGGCTTAGCATTGAAATTAGAATGAACAGCTCGTTGGACAATTTTATATGAGTAATAAAGAAAATCCTCTCTGAATTTTACACATTTTGACTTGTTTGTATTTAAAGTAGGCTGAATCTTAATCATATATTAGTAATTTTTATTGCTACTGTAATTTAATGTTGGTAGAATCTTTATCATATATTTGTTGTTTTAATTACAACTGTAATTTTCTTTTCTTTTCAGACTAGACACGACCATATCAGCTACGCTGTAATTTTATCATGCATAAATAAATGCCTTTATTATTATAATAATACGCATGAAAAAAATTCTTATTACCTATTCTTCCTATTATTGTTAAAGTCTCTCGGATTATGGTGTTTCCGAAACCTCCTCTCTACCTGGATTACCTAAAAACTGAGAGAGAAAATTTGGGACAACTACAGCATCATGAACCAACGCACGTAAAACAAAAAGAAAAATACACTTTCATAAATTTGTACTCTTCTCCCAACCATCTCCCCCCTCCCCTTCAAAACGAATAAAACGAATAATCGGCTAAAATGACGCACAAAAAGGCCGTCTTCGTTTCTTTACTTTTCACGAACGCAAATGGATGGTGCAAGGTCGCCTTTATCGTTTACTTTATCGCCAATGCATTTGGCTCACAGTAAGAGTCCACCCTCCAAGATTACCTCGAAGCCTTTGTCAGGCTTCGATATAACAATGCAAAAGAGTGTACCATTTTGACTTCTCATATACCAGTGGTTTTAGACTCTTAGAGTGCAATCAGTATAATGTTAGTTTAGTTTAAGGTCCTTCATATCGTTTGGCAAGACTTAAAATAAATCATGTGTTTCGTTCCGTTATACTTGATAGAGGTCTCGATAGCATTCTTCAATATTGCCTTTATTTGGTCCTAAAGCTAAATTTCCAGCTATCTTTCTCGACTAATATTAGCAGTTATTGCGAAGAATAAAAATTAAAGCATTTCATTAACATTTATTTAAAAACATCAAGAAATCTAGGTTGCAACTTTGGAAATTTAGGTAGCAACTTTTTGGATTTTAGGCACCTTTTAAACATTTTTTGGCGCTCCAGTGAGCAACTTTCCAGCATTTTACGAGCACAGTCGGGACAGGCCTTCTCCCAGAGCCCATGTTGAAAATAGCTGAAACCCAAGGAATGTCCTCAGGATTCTTTTCAAAATTGCAAAAGGGGGAGGGTTTGCTTTCTACCAAATCGTTTCAAGTTTTGTTTGTTTTCAACCGCTTGATCCTTTTTCTCAAGTAGTCTATGTTTAGTATAAATTTCATGAAGCATACATGACATGTTTCCTTGCTTTTTTCGAGTGGATGACCTTATCTGTCTAGACTGTGTGACAAAGCCGCAGGTACTTTTCAACGTTGCGTGGGTTTATGAAACAAAATTGAATAACACAATAAGGAACTCTTGAAAGAGCTCAAATGGCACCTATTCTTGGTTACTGGGACATTCGAGGGGTACGCCTCACATCATAACTTGCATTTGATCAGTTGGTGGCAAATATTGGGCTGATTTATTGACTCCATGTGTACAATTTTTTTAAACATTATTTTTTGCATCGAGCAGCTTGCTGAGCCCATCCGTCTACTTCTAAACTACACTGAAACCGACTTTAAGGATGAGCGCTATGAACTTGGTGATGGTAAGGTGTCTTAAATTTCTCGTGATCATTGATAACTCGCGGGTGGCGTTGAATAATCAACAGCCCAATCGCTAATGTCTCTTGCAGCTAGCCCTGTACATGTACCGTTGAATACACAAAGTAAGCTCTTAGAATGAATACATTTTTTCTTTGCTCTAATTGTTTTGTTTAAGTTGGAACATTTTCGTAATAAAACCAGGCACTTCTTGCATTGTCTGAACTTGTTGTCATCCGGTGACATGAAGAATCCAAACATATGAAAATCATAGATCATGCACATAGCAACCAAAGTCAAGGAATAATGACTAATAATTAAAGAAACAGTGTCAATGTTTAACGTCTTTTAGTTCCATAGATGGATATCCAGTATTTCTTTCAATCAAGTGTATCAATCTAGCGCTGTTTCTTTACTGTTTTACTTTCAGCTCCAGAGTACAGCGCCAAGGCTTGGACCTCAGTCAAGTACACCCTGGGACTGTCATTTCCTAACGTGAGTTCAGATCCTTTAAACAAGATCTTTAGGTTTGCTACTTAGGCTGGCTCTTCTAATAGTGCCTACTTGGTTTACTGTCCCTATGCTAACTTGGCTAATTTATTATTGTGCAAATCTACTACAGAGCTGTAGCATGTTGTTTACTCTAAGCAAGGTTGGGGCTGGGAGAAAAGCGTAACTCTCCCATAAAGAATCAAACATCAAACCCTCGGGCCTTCTCATGGCTATCCGGGTAGATCGCACCATGGTTAGATCGCTCCCAGTTAGATCGCTCCAACCAAAAGTTAGATCGCTCCACTAGAAAGTTAGATCACTCCATCAAATAAGTTACTTCGCTACCAACAAGGTACTTCGTTTCATGTTGTAATGTGAAGTATTGCTTAGCAATGATCTTTAAAGTTCATAGGTGATGATATGTCTTGCGACGATTCGAATAGATTGTATTCACTCTGTCCTTCAGATTAACCACCTATATATATTTATAGGTGACTAGAAGTATAGCGATGATGGAATAAATGATCGTGGTTACACTTCGTGAGTCCGTTACATGAGGCTTCATTTGTTCTCTCTGCGTAACTCAGATTTATTTGAAGGGCGCGCGAGCGATATTAATCGATTGTTAAGTAAGATATACATGTCATTTGATGAATTGTAAATTTAGATAGCTTAGTTTTGCTACCTTTACCTTAGTTTTCTACATGGAGTGAAGTAACTCATGTTAGGAGCAAAGTAACTCATGTTAGGAGCGAAGTAACTTATACTGATAGAGCGATCTAACTTTCGAGTGGAGCGATCTAACCTTTGATTGGAGCGATCTAACTGGGAGCGATCTAACCATGGTGCGATCTAACCGTAATTCTTCTCATGAAGCCACTAAAAAACTTGTAAGCATTAGGCCACTTTTAAGTTTCATTTATTAGATGTGATTGGTATTGAGCAGGAGGATTTGTAATTTTGAAAGTGTTGAGTGTTTCGATACATAAAGAAGAAGGTAAGTTTTGAAATTGATTGTCAAACGTTATCTGTGTGCACACACAACATTTTTAAACCTCTAGCCCCTAATGGTGACTAGCATCTAACTTTACACTGAGGTATTACTGCTGAATCAAATATTAGGCTCATGAGAATTAAATGATCTCAAACTTGAAACACTCTTGGTTGTTACCCCATAACTTCTTTCTACTTGTCAGTGCTATAGAAAATGTACGAAGAACAGTATGGAGAATGTACATGCTGATTTTAGTATAAAAAGGGTGTAACACTGTTGATTCTAGTGGTAATTGCAGGATGGTTGAGGCATGTGAACCTAGTATCTGGTCTAGCCCACTGACAAGTTCTCCTGAGCTTAGTAGTAGAGAATTGAAGGGTGAAACGCATATGTCTCAAGTGTGATTCTTTGTGGGCTGAGACCCAAACTTTTTCTTTTTCCATTCTTTGAACCAAAATGACAACGTTTTTTGACATTTATTGAATGAGATGTTTATCAGTGAAATGCATCTTGAATTTTCAAATTTTTCATTTTGCTACACTATTCTGTGTGCTGTGTCAACATGCATTGTCCTTTGCCCATGAAGTCTTTGCAAATTAGTCTCTCAGTTTAAAGCAATAGTCAGCCCCTTACAATCAGATATGATTTTCCTTGGATTTCTGACAGAATGAAATTTATTGTTAGTAACTCAAACCCTTGAATACTCCAACCTCCCACTTGCAGCCATTTTTGTTTCTCTGCAGGAAAGGTTCTATGTAACTTTGGTTTTGATATGTAACTTTGGTTTTGATATTTTCAGTGCTGGACAAGTCAAAACATACTGTAGTTCAAAGCACTGTATTTTCTCTAATCAGCCATGTAGTCTGCATGTGTTTTGGCGAAAAGAATGTATTAGTAAAGTGGAGTTTTACTATGGAATATTTATTTGGAGAAACATCCCCAAGATTCCTATCTTCTTGTGCTTCTTGCATTAAATTTTTCTTTTTCGGTGCCTTCCTTTTGTAATAATCCATGTGAGGCTCTGTAAAATCATAAGGGTCCTGGAATAACTTGCTCAAGGAAATGTTTAGTAAATGCTAAAATGTTGAAGGGCACATATTTATATGATATGGACAAGAGTTGGATGTAATTTTCCTTGGCTCTTGCCACAGATCTTTTGTCTGTGGGATTTAGTTTCAGATGCTCAACCAAGGACTTTCCAATTAATTGGGTGATGTCCCAAGCTTGTGAGAAGCAACTAGATTTGCTTTCTGCTCTCTTATGGGTGCTTAAGTTCCTTTCAATTAAATACAGCTGTGTATTAATGGATTTTTTATTTCCTTTCTTACAACAGCTTCCTTATTACATTGATGGGGATACGAAGATCAGTCAGAGTAATGCAGTAAGTCAATAAAATTATAGGAATTGTTCCATAAATAATCTGTTAATTTAAAGTGCTTAATTCTTCCTTAATTATCTAATAAATGTAATTTGCAGATACTTCGTCATATAGCAAGGAAACATGATTTGTGTAAGTGTGCATTTCCATTATTTGAATAATAATTCTGGAGAGAAGGTCGATTAATACGAAGGACATCTTCAAGCAAATAGAAACTTGTAAATTGATGCTATTGTCAGAACTTAAAAATTCTTGCTTAAACCCTGATTGCTTTGGTTTTGTTTTATCTTGCTTTAAGATTGGTCTAGAAAATTCTCCACACCCTCTCAACCAAAAATATTCAAAACTAAGACCAACTGAACCTTGGTCACTTGCTTTTTTCTGAACTTCAGGCATACAGTTTTCTTGTTTTTACTTTTAATTCTTATTTTCTCCTGGTAAAAGTTTTCTTTGTTCTGATTGGTCATTTCAATTACTTTGGACTGGTTTTACAACACTCTATTAAATGCAATAAAAGGTCCCTGGTTCTGATTGATTAGCATTTGAGACCATATAATGAGTATCAGTTTTACAAAGATAAATACAAGCTACAGTCAAACCTGTATTAAGTAGTCACCCATGGGGAATGGTGGAAGACTGCTTGATTTAGGTTAATAGCCTAATTCAGGTTCTACAGAATAGGGTTATTATAAAATATGATAAAAGTGGCATTTTATGTCATAATTGACCACTTAATTTGCAAAACTTGCTCAGAAATACTGCTAACATTGATTTTGGGAGATAAACATGGATCAAATTTTGCCTGAAAGACTATTCTTAGTTTGATTTAAGAGGTTTGGCTTTGAGTGACCATTCAGTACAAATGAAGGACAATACAAACAGGCTATTGGGACTCATGGTGACCATGGTGGTCACCCTTACAAGGGTGACCACCATGGCTTAATAAAGGTGACCACTTAATACAGGTTCAACTGTTTAATGATGATGTTTGTCCAAGAGATGATTGGTTCCATGTGTACATCAGTAACATTTTTCTACTCTGGTAAGCTTGTAAAGAAGAATGCTCTTTGTAATTTGTAAGGTGGCACATCTGAAGAAGAGAAAGTAATGGTGGATGTTGCAGAAAACCAGGTTTGCTCTCTCTTCTCTTCCTTAAGTAAAATTTTGCTAGTAAGAACTTTAACAGCTGTTGCAAGAATCTTCTTGTTTTGTTATATTTCTGTGATCTTCAAATGATCTGAAAAGGTTGCAATCTGCATTTTGAACTGACTACTACTTTAGAGAAATGATGAATATTTTGCTATGTTTGCATTCACCATGATAGAAAAACTACACTCATTTTTCAGGATAGTAAAATGTATACATTATTCCTCTTTGCATTTTATTTTAGGCTGATCAGTCTCTGAGTCTACAATATCTTGCTTTTTTTTCCAAAATTGTGTTGTGGTAATCAAAACTGTATGTTATTTCTATAAATCTGAATGTCTCTTAGCCTGCTGTGTAGGTCACAGGACATTTTGATTTTGATTATGTGTAAAATAATTATATGATGACTTTATTTTATAAAAAGTTAATTTTGTAACACTATTTTAAACTTTTTGCAGCTCATGGATTTCCGCAAAAAGTTTACTGCATTGTGTTATAATCAGAACTTTGTGAGTACTAACACTTGAGAGTAGTTTGTACATAATTTATTCAATTTCAAACATAGTTTCTCACAATTATTGTGACCATTGTTTTGATATTTCTTGGGCTTGAATATTCTAAAATATCCATTAATTTTTGCATGGTGCAAAGTTGCTGGGCAGTTATCAAGCAATAAAAACTCTATATCTAAATTTATCTAGTAATTGTTTTAATCAAAAAGAAAAAAGACCAGCATAAAAAAGCTAGCTCAAGAGTTTCATTTTTTAATATTAATTAATTTACTTGGAAGAAAGACAAACTTATTCTTTTAGAATGTATTTTTCAAATTTCCAATGACCATTGATAGTGAGTGGGTTCTAGTTGAAAAGTTTTTTCACGATATTTTTTCTTTGCATTTTCCTTAGCTATTTGTTGTTTTAACTTACCTGTCTTACCTATTTGGAGAATGGTGATGCTATTTGCTTTCATTCTTGAGTTTTTGAGGTGTCACACAGACTCTTTGATCTGTAAATAGATTTCTGACATTTCAGACATTTTGTGTCAAGGCTTGTTGAATTAGCAATATGTTACTCTTTTGAATGAGATGTTATTAAGGTGTGCTTATTAACAGTAGATTTGTTGTTGTTGTTTAATCATATACTAGATGCCAGTTGGTTATACTCTTTTGGTGAATATTTATCTTTCCTGGCAGGAAACATTGAAAGAGAACTACCTTAATGATGTCAAGCCTATGATTAAACAATTTGCTGAATTTTTGGGAGAAAAGAAATTTGTAACTGGAGATAAGGTAAACAAGTAATAGGATCCAAATGTCGATGACAAGTTAAGGCTGAAGAATGCACCAGCTAAACTTGCCAATCAAGGCCTGATGCAGAATAGGGTTTTCTTAAGCTTGTGTTTAGTTTTTTGGTTTTTTAGCTCAGAGAGGGTCGTTCAGCTCTTTTAATCAATCCTTTTCCAACCTTTCACCTTTTCACCCCCTTAGAGTGACTGGCCTCTAATTCCTCCTTAAAGTGTCACCCTGAAATCAAACATAAAGGTCATGAGAGTTGAGGAACAAACCACCTATTCAAGGAACTCCTGATTTCAGAATTGGTTTTCATTGCCAATGCCATTGGTAATGTAGAGAGAATAGTGTGGTGAATATTAACCCTTAACACCCTAACATCAGTATGCATATTCTCCATACTATTCTCTCTATGTTTCCTATGGCATTGACAAGGAGAATTTGGTTAGCAATGTAGAGATTCCTTAGTTAGTGATCATTTCAGTTATTCTCATGGCCTTGATGAGAGATTCAGGGATGACATTTTAAGGAGAAATTAGATGCTAATCACTCTTAGGAGTTAAAGGGTTAATGTTAGGGTGTAAAGGGTTAATGTTTGATTACTTTTATTTGAGGGAACATAAATTGTGAAAACTCTGATGAAGTTCAGTTCCTCTGAGAAACCAAATCTAACTTCCTGTAGAATAGTTAGCATTCATCCGGCCTACGATCCTCAATATTGAAAGACTTAATATTTTTCGTTGCGACAGATAACGTTTGTTGATTTTATCCTGTATGAAATAATGGATGAACACCAAATTTTTGATAGTACTTTGTTGGAGCCACACAAAAACCTTAAGGTAAAAGTTATTTGTTTTCTTTTTGATGCATATTTCAACTTGAGGCGAGGAAGAATATCTTCTAAACGTTACGCCTGTACACCTCAGCGTTCTTTAGGTGCTTCATTGAGGAGACTTTAGGGGTTACCCCATTAATGCCCCTTTAGCACTTCTCATTCACTCTAGATTCCATTTTCTGTCAGGCTTGAGAACAATCCTTTTTAGCTCGGTTCTTTTGTTATTTTCATCTTTGTTGTTACCTTTCTTTGACTACATGATTTTTCGTGGTATTCAAGTGAATGCTTGCAGATTTTGTGGCCCTCTCAATTCTCAGTAGCTTTGTGCAAGGAATATTCCCCAGTTGGTCTAAAATACAGTATAAATTGATCACAGGCTAAAACTCAGTAGAAATCAGTGGACTTTTCTGTAGTCTTTTTTTTCCTTGAAAGAGAGGAACCAAAGAGGGGAACCAAGGGGATGATTTTTCAAGGGAAGAAGGGACCATGAGCTAACATGGGTGTAGTTAGCCACAGGATTTTTATTCCCTGGAGGAAAAATATTTTTTAAGTCGTCGAAGAAATTCTTCTCTGTAAAATTTGAAATTCTGTGCTACAGTATTTTTGGAATGTCTGAATATCAAGTTAGATTTTGATTAAACTGCCATGATGTTGTGTACTGAGGATAAAACACAGAGGAAAGTATTAAAGGGAGGTTCAGGCGTTTAGCAGTGCAGAGCAATTTTCGATGAGCACTCATCCATAAAAAAACAGTTAATTTATATTTTTCAGATTCATCTTCACAAGTATTCTACAACTGCTCATACAATTTCTAACGTTACTTTCCACTCAGCATCCCTTATACATTTTGAACTATAATTTACTCTATCTTTTTATTACTCAATAAACTACTTCGCTTATTTTCAGGATTTCTTGAAACGCATTGAGGTAAGTAGGCATTAAGTTTCCTGTAGCCATAGTAAGTGTCTTCAATTTTTATTCGAAGAGGAAGATGTTGATCGCGAGACGGTGCAGTCAGTATCGAGTTGCTGTAGAATGTTTGGATAGGTTCCCTTTGTTTTTAACTGTGGCCAGATTGTGTGTTATGATAAGTTAATGTGCTTCTCCGTTGAGGACGAGAATAAGGCCACCTGTACCACCTTGGATATAGTTTAATTTTTGTCACTCCGTACGAATGCTGCCAAGTGACAACTTTTTCAAACTATCTTTGTGGTTTCTTTGTGCAGGAACTACCTACCATTGCGGCCTATCTCAAGTCAGACAGGTTTAAACCTCGTCCTATTAACAACAAGATGGCAAAATTCAAGTAAATTGCGGTGAAAAGCGGGATGAAAACCAAGCTTTCTGCTCTTTTAGCTTAGTTATGTAGATTTGTGTTGGTGAGAAATAAAGTTATCGTAGTCTGCACACAAGACTAACTGATCGTGGTCCCTGTATTAGTTCAGAAGCAGGTCATCCTCCCCTAGATGGTATGCAAGTCCTTCGCCGATCATCCTCTCCTCTCCCCTCCGCCACCGCCACCCCCACCCCCACCCCCACCCCCACCCCCACCCCCACATAGCCACGTCATAACTTGTACATACGTGGAACTGTGAAACATTGAAAGTGTCGGAAAACATCGTTACTTTTGGCTCCTTATAATTCGTTGTTCTAAACCACAAACAGCTTTCTTTTCAAGTTCAATGAAAGCCTTCACTGGTCGATTCTCTCATCATATAAAGGATGGATGGCACTTTCTTGTTTGACAAGTTCACGTCGATGATATGTTTCACGTCGATGATATGTTCCCCGTGGCTGTGATGATCTGTTAATAAGTAGTATTTCCTGTGAAGGCGCATGGGGCACTTGGTGGTAGTTAAAGGATACTGCAGCGGGATGAGGCTAATACCATTGTTTGCCCGCCTCACTCTCGGCTTCTCTCCAATAACCGAGAGCCTGCATGGGACCGAGTCTGGCGGCCACCCAGCGCGGCTGACGCGCGGCCTGCGTCATAAAAAAGCATTTGTAACGTCAATCTTCACTTCACTCGTTTTCGCGGCAAGAGCTAGTTTGCGCTTTTCGAGAGAGAGTAAAAAAAGTTTGGAGACGAATCGGAAATGAAGTGGGTGACTGCGCTAATAGCGCTTTCGCTTATATTTTTGTTTTCAGATGTTATATACAGTGCTAAACTGGAAGGTAAGATTTTTCCTTCCTTTTTAAAACATTTTTCCCTTCAAGTCGCCCAGCAGGTAATGACTGTTGTGGACTCAGCAACAAAGACTTAAGCTGGTTCTTCATGTCAATCGGTTCACACTTTTTGAAGGGATTCGCTCAGTTTTCGTCGCTAAATCTGTCAAGCAAAGAGGTTTGAACTTTTCCCGATGCACATTCTTATGAAAAGTACTTCAAATCATTTTCCGCAAAGCAAATGTTTCTGGTTGCTATGGTAGCGCGCGCGTGGTTTTAAGTTCATTTCTTTGTTGCGCGCGCTTCACAAACGGTTACGTTTCACCAGATTCTTTTTATTTTCCAAAGTAACGAGCGTTGATTATTGTAAAGAACCAACAAGAACGCGACGCTGAAAGAAGTACAAAATAATTTAACCACCGAAAATTTACTGAAATTTTTTGTGGCATTTAAAAAATATTTTCATTTGATTTTTTTGTTTCTGTTCAATACATTTAGTAGGCATACGATACGTCCCTTTTACTACACTAGTAGGGACAACAAGGTTTGTCGAAATTTTGATTACTATGGCGTACCTCTTATCGGCTGTAAGGAAATGCAGTTCAAGAAATATCCTACTTGTAATTTGACACCTTGTTTCCCGGGGCAAGTATTGTGACACCCAATTCTTGCAGCGTCTCTCTCCACCTAGCACCTCACCTGGGAAGAAAACATACCCGGCTTTAGATACCAGTGCGCGAGTCGTTACAGAAACCAAAGAAACCGCGGAGGGTCAGAAATCTACGTTGGACTATTATACTATGGAAACCGGAATAAGCCTCCACCGCGTGGGCCACTTTTTAGCGTTTGGAACATTTTAATGCACCAAGTCTAAATTCTCAAAGGTATTAGATTTGATATTTCGTTTTAAGTTCCGTTTAACTTTCTTCTTCTTATGTTCTAAAGTTCTAAACTAACGCGACTACTTTTTCTGATTTCACATAGTCAATAATTTCTCTAAATCATCATAGTCAGGTCTTTAAGTGCAAGAAAATCCCTCAGTATCTCGGAAACACGACATGCTCTGACGATGAGGTTTTCGAGATTACAAACCCTGGATTGATATCCCGGATATGAAACTTTACAGTGACAGTAATGACCCAGGTGCAGGACGGTACGTTGGAAATGACCTCAGGGATGTGGAAGAAATGCATTCTGGTCTCAAGGGTAGTGATTGGGAAAGGGTGGAATGGACCAGAGTACATCTGGATTGGAATGGTTAGTTGGACACAGGAAAAATTCGCACGGTTGTCAGACTTCACGTGGAAAGGAGCAAGGTGGCTTGGAAAATTGTTGTGGAACTGTGCTAAGTGGTTTGCAGGAGTTACTTGGAATGGATTTCGGCGGTTAGCTGAGTTTATCTGGAGCGAACTTCAGTGGTTGGTAGATTTTACCATAAATACAACATATTCGTTTGCTGAGATGGTCCAGAATAAGTCAGCTGAGCTGACCGAGATAATGATTAACGGAGTGATGTGGATCGTTGAACCATTTGTGCCTGTCGTCCACTATGTCACTGATGTTACTGTAGAGTTTTATTTTGGTTCCCTGCATGGTAAGTCAAGTGTAATCAAATCTGAATCTCCATTCGACGGTTCACAACTGGCTTGACAGCCTAACGTGGAGAGTGATCACTTCCACTTCTCACTTTCGGGTCGAGCTAGATTTTCATTATCATCATCATCATCATCATCATCATCATTATCATCATCATTATAATTATTATTACTGTTATTATTGTTATTAATGTCATTACTTTTTTCGTTTACTCGGGCAATACGGAGGCCCTTTAAGGTTGATACAATTTCTTTTTAATTTGGGCAGTTTCACAATTTTATTTCACAATTATTACATTCAGTTAAAAAAAAAACTCATGCGTCAGTTTTGGGAAGCTTTTCTTTGTTTACTATCTATCAGACTTTTTTTTTCAAACAGAACATGTGAAACATATTCAAGCTCGCTTTGATTTCGTTTCCTGGCAAGATGGCGTCTACGCTGTCTCCGCTGGTTTGGTCGTCAATGTTTCTCTTTTGGTTGCTGGTTTTCTCGTTTACCGGTTATGTGTGCGAACTGTGAAGTTCATCGGACGGAAATGGTAAGTTGCATGCTGCGAAATACCTGATACCATGAATGTTTTGCCATTCCCTTCAAACTAATCATAACGTCCACTGCAAGAGACTAGAGAGGTCACAAAAAATGGCATTGATAAACCGGAAAGGAACGAGTAAGGCGTGGAATGTATGAGATTAAAACGGAGTGAAAATAACGTGCCACTTAGAAATTTAGCTGTACATTTCCAAGATGTGTATAACATCAAGTAGCTCCCATATATAAAATATAATGATTTGGAATTCGATGGGTCAAAATGGTGTTTTTTTTTATCATGAAGATACACGAACATGAAAACACAGCTTTTGAAGTGGTGTCACCTGCTCTCTTTTGTACCAAAACTCCATCCATTATGCGTCAGTTTCATCCGTGGAAACCGGCTCATTATTTTAACTGAATTAATGAAGAAATCTGACTTCAATCATTTTTATTTTTTCTTTGCTTGTCATTTCTCGCTGGAAAGAGTACAAAGATAGAAGCACTGCCGCTAATATGCCACCGAAACCACAGAAACCAATTTGGCAGCCGAAAAGAAAGCATAAGAAAAAGAAGAGAATTGACGACTGGTAGTCCTCAACTATTTTTACCTTGTTTTGCTACCTCAAAAATGAAAAAAAAATCTTAAAATCTGTTGACTCGATAAAAATCAGCCTATGGATGTCTGTTTTACTTTGTTAAATGGAGTTTAGAGATATGAAAACTTACGGTAAGTCAGTATGGCTTTTGAGTGTTCATTAAAGTTGTTCAGTCGATGAGGTTTATGTTTTTAAAAGTCTGGTTTTATTTGAAGCCACGCCTTCGTTTGATAAAGTCAATAACTCAGAGTGATCTTTGTTCCTGCATGGAATGACGCCCTTTCCAAGAGAAAGAGCAAACTAACAGACTGCATCTCGGAAGTAGATTAATTTCTATTTGGTACCGAAAGTAAGCCGGGATTGCTTTGATCTCTCTTTACTACGCCATGTGATTGATTCAGAATACTCGCGCCCCTGTGTGTTACGGTTACGTTCGCCATCGCACTTTTTATGGCGATGAAACATCCTATACCCGTGTCTGTATTTGGTGTGTGGAGCTCCTCTCTATCAGCATAGCACTGGGAGGTTTCTTGTTCAAAGTCCTCAATGATACCAAATGAAATGGCTATATCGTCGGTTCGAGCGTGACGTCGACTGATTGATCCACTCAAATCATCCACTTTGTGAAAGATGTCCTCTAGCTCTGTTAGAGACTCCACTACAAGACGTAATCATGAGACCAAAGTGAGAGAATCTGTCAGTCCAGTCAATGTGGACACGGGTACTACTCTAAGACGCAATGCTAAAACACGCGCCTGTGAGCATGCCGGTGATATTAGAGTAGACACCAGCACTAAGACTGAGGATTCTAGTGACTCTTCTGCGAGAACTTCTCATTTAAGCTTGCAGTAGTAACGAACTCTCTTGTAAAGTTGTCGAGCAAGCCTCTCAGAGCCTTAAGCAGGTTATCACCGCAACGTTAGAAAGAGTAGTTGAATCAACAAAGGACCGACAATTTCGTTTACATAGAACACGGAACTTTGATCTCATTAACCCAGTTAATTGGTTCATGTCCTTAGCTAGAACTTTGTCACCATGATCTGTCGGAACGAGACAGTCGGGAGGGAACTTTTTTTTACCATTTAGAAGTTGAAATGTAGTCTGTGTACTGCTCCTTCATTTGCAACACACACGCCGTCAGCTAAAAGCCTAAGACGAAATGATCACTGATTCGTTTAATATGGAAGGGCTAATTTTGTTGCCTTTTGTAAAATTTTCGCAGAGCATTTGTATAATCGTATTTGATCGATAATCTTGTCTTTTTCTTTTGAGGAAGTTGCATTTACTTTCTGCGTCGACTGCTATGTATAATATTCGTTTCATCTCTTTGCTTTTAAAAGTTCTCCTAGAAGAACAATCCCATGTTTACCTGTCACTTCATCTTCCAGTAAACAACCCAACGACCTCGACTTCTACTGGCCGATAACACACGATTCGCTCGTAATTTGCCGCTTACAAGCGAATATAATTGGCATAAAATGTTAAACGCACGTTGAGACAAGCTGATCTCTCGCATTGAGCCAGGACGCAGCCAGCGTGGCTTCCTCTCATGATAAACTTTCAACTTGCGCTTCAATCGAACTTTTCTTACTATTGATCTTTTGTTGATTCTCAAGCTACGAGATTCGACAATATGGGGAAGGTCTTCTTGGTCCGAAGAAAAACCTCTGCCTGTGTTCAGAGAAGATCCGGCGGCCACAGGCGTTGCAGAGGCATCTAAATTGCTGGGCGGCATATCGAACAGGAAAACTAAACTTCAACTTTCTGATAGATTTTTCCCTTTAAAAGTTACTTCATTCAAACTTTTACTTGATCTAAAATCTCGTTGAGGAGGCACATTGGTATCCAAAGCCGTGTTACAAAATTCGTTTTAAGGGGTTCGCCAGCTATGACAACAGGGGTTGAGTTCCTTCAGGCCCTCTTTTGACCTCTTGGGTGGGTTCATTCGAGCGGTAGACATGAGCGTAACAAGTAGACGAGACCTGGAAACGAGGCGCACGTAAACATTGGTAATCAAGATGGCGACGGAAACGGCCTCTGAATGCAAGATTATAGTTAAAAAACCTATGCTACTGAAGGTTGGAGATTTGGCTAGCGAGTTCAGGTCTGGTGTGTCAGTGGTTGACATAATTCTTCCAGGAATGAATGCTGTGCAGGTAATGCAGAATTGGATTATTTAACCCACACACTTGAACAATCTATTCGGTTCGCCTTCAATCTTGCTTCAATGAGTCAAAATGTAGGAGATTGCAGCTTGAAACAAAATCACAGGCTTAACATGGAGCTTCAGAGTTTGTGTATTACTGAAAGGTGTAGTTCAGTGAAATAAACTTCAACATAAATGAATTTTATTGTACTGTTATTTTCTCAGGCTACAAAAGTTGCCTCTTTTTCGTGAGTTGTTTCGAGCTTTGCTTGTAATAGGGCTAGGTGCTAAATTTTGATTTGTAGGAATTTTTAAATTTTCGCTAGAACGTAAAGGGCTCAGCCTTTTATTCCACCTTATTCTGTTTATTTCTCTTACAATTCAGAGGATAGATTTGATAGCATTAATTGCAGTCTCTTTTCAAATGGATGTACTCCCATGCCTTGTGAGAGATCTAAAACACGAACAGCTTAGATTGAGAAAATCATACGCAGGCCCTCAAAGCCTTGGGCTGGGCAAATCAATCTGTTCTAGTTGCTAAATAGCTGATATTAAGGAATTATATGATGAGGTTAAGCATGATATTCAACAATTATTTGCTTAAGGCTAAGTGGATATTGTTGAATAATCCCCAAGACAAAGTCAAGGGGATTATTTGACATTATTCATCGAGCTATAGTTGAAAAATTGTTGAGGTGCTTTCAAATTATGTTGTAAACATTCGTTTTGATGATGAAACTTTTTTTCCAATTGATTTGATTACTGTTATCAAAGATAAACACCTTACTCTATATTGATTGTATGCTCTTGACCAATCAGAGTTTTGATAGTAGGTCAAATTTATGAGAACATTAGTTATCAAACAGTTCAGATCATTAAACTGATTGCTTAGTTTTTTTCTCTTTTTAATGTGTTTTATCAGGTTGGAAAGCTGACATTTAAGAACTCTTATACAGCATCTGTTACGGTAAAACTGAAAGTTACAGGTAAGGTTGTTCATAAAATTTATAATTTTCTTTTAATATCTGTGATTTCACTGATAAAAGTGTTGCAAATCCATTTATACCACTCTTATATGATTATGATATATCTTTCATTTTATAATATTGATGTATCATGATCAGTTAGAGATGGAAAGGTGCAATCCTACCAAGAGTAATTACTATGCAACTTGAGTCAGATGACTAAAGGCAATTTTGTGGTAATGGTTACAAACACTATCAATGATACGTAGTCATTCTGAACAATTGTGAAATGGGAAAAATGACAGTTTAATAAATACTATTACTGTATAATTTGTTGTTAACTGAAGGACTCTTTTAGATCATGCAGGTGCTGAGCAATGGAAAACCCTTGTGAAGAACTACACTCTGATGCCTCATCCTCATTTAGAAACAGGAAGCCAGGATTTTTTTGTGATTAATATTAGTAAGGTATAAAATTTTACTTAAATGTGTTACAAGACAAATAAACAATAACACTTGACTGATGATAGAAGATCTATTCAAAGTTAGATTTTCTCTCGGAAGTTGTACATTAGGTAGATGCATGGCCTGAGGGAAATAAAGGTTATTATTTCTCATACTTAAAAGGTTTTAAAGAATTGAAGAGGTAAACTAAGGCAAATTGACAAGCTTTGAAAATACGCTGAACATCAATCCCTTTTTGGGGAAGAGGACATTTTATTATTGATTATTATCTTACAACATGAAAGAGAAAATTTTGCATAGGGGAAAACTCTTATAAACTGGTTGGCAACCAATATTGCCCTAATCAACTGTGGTCTTGTTCACTTTCATACACTTGACATTGTGAGACACTCTTGTATTTGCTAATACCATGTGCGATTCCGTAACAATGAAAGGCGTAAACAGTGTGTGTGAGCCAGTTCTGATACCATGCTCCTTTTCACCTTGGGAACTACTTGTAGAAATATTAGTGTGCTCCTTCCAAGTGGTCTCAGATTGAAAGACAGTGCCAATCAAGGATTAAATTATCTTTCAGCTTGGAAATTGTGAATTTCTATTGTCTGATGCACTTATCATTTTTATTTCTTCAGAATGCTTTTCTGGCCTGTGAATAACAACTTAGGATTGTAAATTCTATTTCACCAAAGCTCCTTACTTTTCTCTAAAACACAACTAGTCACATACAGGGTAATTTTATGAAATGCCAATTGCCATCTTTTTGTTATTTCCTTTGGGTAATGAAGAGGTGTAGTCACTTTTTCTTGACCAGCTGACTATATTTCATCTGCAATGATCATGAGTTGGTTTACCTCTTGGAACAAGGGAAATGTTGAAATTTCCAAACAGAGATTAGTGACTGGTTTTTCAGTGGTACTGGATGATGATTTGTAATGGTTATGTGGCTCTTAATTTCTCCTGAGGGTAAATTTTTTATAAGTAGAGGCTTGCCAGTGTTCAATGCTAAACCTTGAAAGTTTTTCTTTGTACAATGTTTTTCCCTTTATGTGATAAAGATGGAATCACATTTAGGTGCTCTCATTTGAAAGGGTAAATCTTCCTGTCTATTTTTTCAAGAGTTTCCAAATGTGTTAAAGGTAATGCAACTGAAAACTGTGGCTGAAACTTCCCTTTATTCAGCAGCTAGTGGTTACTTATTGTGTAGAGTTAAGGACTGTAAACAATGGGCATCATTTTTAAAAGATTGGAATCACTATTTTCCTGTTATCATGATTACCCTTGGCATACCAAGGTGGATACAAAATGATACAAAGGAAACCTCTAAACTTAATAAATTGGCAGTTTCAATTAATGGTATTATACTCTCTTAGATATCAAAGCAGCATATGTTATATATCACAATAAACTAATTTTTAGTGGTTAAACTGGCAAAAATAATTAGAATCAAGTATTGTACAGTCCAGCTATTACACTGAGATACTTTTTAATCATTTTAGATGGACGAGCCTCCTCTTCAAGTGATAATGATGAGGTTAATTCTCCGACAACCTTCCCCTCACTGGAGTAACTTTGGCATAGAAGAGATAAAGTGCTTTCTACATTCACCTACGGTAATTCAGCCAGTTTTTTGTGCTTAAACTAACTTTTTGTCTGTTGAAAGGTAAGACAGAATGATATTTTTTCACCTTTGGGATGAATCTATGCCCAGATGTTTCAAACAAATCATGTATTGACACCTCAATACAGTTATGAACAGTTAAATGACAAATAAATGGAAACATATCATTCTGTACCAACTTTTAGAAAGATATAAGAATACATATTGAGCCTTCAACTCCAATGAGTGACCAGGACAGAATTTCTCCTTACAATACCAATACAACATCAGTCATAAATGTAATGAGAATAAAGTAAAATATCAACTAGGGAGATAATTAGTTGATCCATTTAACTAAATTCTCCCAATTAAACTCATAAGAATTGTATGGTTGACAGTAACAAGAATTACTAATGAGATCTTGGTTGTGAAAGGGTTAAAGCATTCATTCATTCATTCTCCAGAGGAAAAAGTTATCAATAATATATTATTTCGTCAAATTGTTGAACCAGAAGCATGTACCAGCAGCAGGTTGAAAGTATTATGAAACTGCGTGTAAATTTCAAATATTACTGAATGTGGAAAAAAATATGAATCCAGAGTTTGTAGTAGTGAGTTTGGATCTGTTGGGTTGTATTAGTCCCTGCCACCTTCTTTCACATTTTAAAACCAGTATGGATGATATCTTTGAAAGTTCTTATGTAGAATTAAAACAGTAAACATGGAAGGAAGTGACAACCCTTCATGAATTCACAGTTAATTCAATGATCATTAAACCACAACTCTTAGCTAATATCCCATATACATCAAAGCTTAAATATGTTTTGAGCTGTATGTTAAACACTGTGTTGAATAGTTTTCTTTATAGGAGCTGGTTAAACTGCTGCTTGTCAACTTCAACTTTAACATTTTGAAATAACTACTAACCACTTTGCATGGGAAAATTCAGTTTTTCAGTTCTCTGTTTCTGATTTTCATTCAGTTAAATGTGGTTGAACTAAACATGTTTTGCTGGTGTGAATGGGGTACTAGTCTTGTTTGAATTTGTTTAAAAAATGTTGTCATTCTATTTTCCAATGTCGTGTGTAGAAAAGTCCAAGATATAGCTTTAATGCTACAAATTCTAGCACATAATAAGACTTTCATTGCTTTTCAGAATTGCTCATCAGTACCAGAATGGCTACATAATGATGACTGTCATAATCCTGGTGGAATCAAAGCAGTACAGGTGCATATCAAATGTGATATAATTGTAGTACTTATTATCTGAGTGGTTGTTTTAGTGTCCAACCTATTGAAAATTATTGTAAAAGTTTTTTTAAAAACTCCTTTAGAACTCACAAACAGGTAAAGCTATGTTTTGTTAAAATCAATTGCCCTCTGCCAGAGTATAAGAGGCAGGTTGGTCCAAAGTTGGTTGAAGAGGATTTAGTCTCAGCAGGTGTTTGTTGTCCAGTGTATGTCACTTTTAATGATTCCATCATTTTACATTTTAATATTTTACAGTCAAGTGAATTGACTGCTTCTAGATGTGGTAGTTGAACTTAATAATTGCAAAGTGACCATTTTATCAAAAATTCATTGAAGCTAACAATCTTTGTTTCAGAATGTCTCTAACTCAGAGAATGTGGCCTCCAGCATTCAGCAACTTTGGGCATTGACCCAGGGGGTGATATCCTCAAAACAGAATCTGTCTATTGGTCGTTTTGATGTAAGTTTTAAGCTTTATTGGTTTCAACAGCAATGATAAAAATTCACTCATTTGGCTGATGAGAATTTGTTTTTTAGATTGACAGAAGCTATGACATCAACTTGTTATCTTACACATAACAGTACAGCTGTTTGATGTCTGTGATTTCCTGGCCAAGGAAAGAGAGGAAATATGAACCATGTGATGTTCATGTGTCAGTATGGTTCCATACAGAGTAAACAAGGCTGATGCTTACAATGTATCATCTATCTTCAACTGGGAGATTCCCAATGGGAGAAGCATCTGAGAATTCCTACAGATGTAATTATGGATCTGACTGAGTTTATACAACAGAACGACCAGTTTGAATTTGATAGTGAACACTACCCTTAGGACAGCTATTGACTAAAAAATGGCACCTGCCTATGTCAATTTATTTAGGGATAGATTGGAAGGAAAATTTTTGACACAAGATCTGATTAGGCTGTATGTTTGGTTGAGACACATTGATGACATTTTTATGGTGTGGACTAGTGGCAAGGATGAATTGGGAACATTTTTTAATTACTGAAATGAATGATGAATGTATGATACAATAAAGTTTATGTGTCACTTAACGGGTTTATGTGGTTTATTTGGAGCCCTCATGATGAGCAGATTTCGCCACCTGAAATTGACCATAATTAGTGCTAACGTTGTATGTGAAGTCTCACGTGCCACATTGTAAAGGAATAATTGATCCACAAAGTTCCCCAAATTAAATCTTAGGTCATTCATCTTGTGGGGTTGGTTAAGCATTACACATTAATCCACCGTACCAATCTTGGCAGAGAAAAAATTGACCTCGTACGCAAGTCTCTTCCGCAGCCGTGTCCTTTCTGGTCATCAAGAGAATAGCCAGAGAGAGGCGAACTTGGAAATGACAGAAAACGCTCGTTTTCAGCGTAATGCGCGGGTAGTGTTGGTATTGAGACATATAACAGGATCTTAGATCGTAAACTTAGGGTGATAAAAATGCCGATCGGGAGGATTTTCGATGCGCAAACCGCCTCCACGTGGACAACAGTCGAAATCGTAGTCTGCAGCCCTGACATCATCTTATAGCAGGAATAGCAGTGATGGCAAAGCAAGCTTAAAACGGCAGAGAACGCTGGAAACCACGACGGAAACACAAGATGTTAGTAAGTTCTATTGATTTTACGTGAAAGATGTTCATATTTTGAAATACTTATCATTGTAAATCGAACATATTTCGTTCCCAATACTATTCCTATATTCTCAACGGTTCCTCTCGTAACTTAACATCGAGCCACACAACGCGTGACACTTTCATGAAGAGTCTGCTCCACGTGGAACTCTTATCGCAAGATGCCCGTAAAAATAAGGATAGGCGTCGCACCTCGCGTTGAGATACCGACCTAAACATTGACTTTCAGGACGGATGTTTGCACCCTGGCTTCGTCTTCGGGGCTTCTCCCTTTTTTCTGAAACAGATCTTTCCGTGGCGTTCCGACTAGATCGTACTTTCATCTGTGAAGATGATATCTTCTAAATTCTCTTCGCTCTCGAGGGATTATTGGGCGAAAGCCAGTCGGGCGACTCAGTTTGCCTCGAGAACTAGTTGGCAGCACTTAGGCCCGTATTTAGTACATCCAAGTTTTTGCCGAATTCGTTTGATGGTAACCGTAAAAGGCTGAACACCCAGCCGAGTCCTCGACACTAACACATACTATGCTAAGATGTCAGCGCTGATCGGGATCGGACCATGCAGTTCATACGGAACGGACAGATATCAGTGACCAACTCTGCTCAATACTCTTCTATCATCGGCAGTGAGAAGATTCAGGACCACGAGATCATGGTGTCCTTTGACGTAGAGTCACTGTTCATCAACGTCCCCATTGAAGGTGCTGGGTGTTAGCGTAGTCCTCGATACTAACACATACCATGCTAAGATGTCAGCGCTGATCGGGATCGGACCATACAAGCTCCTTGAGAAGGATCCGTCGGACCCGCAAACTGTTCGAGAAGCTACTCTCCTTTAAGCGGAACGGACAGATCAGGGATGTAGATAACAGCCGGAAGCCGGGAAAATTACCCGGTTGTGAACGCGATTTTTCCGGCTGTGAAGCACTACTTCTTTCCCCAAAATGTTTTTAAATGTTGTCAGAAGATTGTTGTTTATTTATTTCATTTGTTTACACCTTCACATCTAGATATAGCGTGCCAAAGGCACGCTAGAGTCAAGTGGGCCTTCGGCCCAAATACCCGCCTATCATTGCAAGATTCCCGCCTGCTAAAAACTTAAGCTACATCCCTGACAGATATCAGTGGCCAACTTTGCTCAATTCTCTTCTACCATCAGCGGTGAGAAGATTCAAGACCACGAGATCATGGTGTCCTTTGACGTAGAGTCACTGTTCATCAACGTCCCCATTGAGGGTGCCGTAGAAGCCGCGCGACAAAGGTCAGAGAGTGACCCAAGCCTTGCAAACCGCACGACACTAGCACCTGCTCAGATTGCGAACCTCTTAGACTCCGTGAGAACTTGCGCGTCCAAAGAGCGAAAACAGTCAGTCGGGGATGAGAATTAGAGAAGAAAAAGGAAAAGAGAAGTGAACCAGAACAGGTATGTTATTAAAGCGGAACGGGCACATATCAGTGACGAACTCAGCTGACTTCTCTTCCGTGAGAAGACTCAGGACCACGAGATCATGGAACCCTTTGACGTAGAGTGACTGTTCACCAACATCCCCCTATATGTTTAGCCCGTGCCCAGACCTCCACCTCCACCTCTACCACCAATTTTGGAGTCAGACCTCTCGGAAAACAAGGACTCGCCTGAACAATAGGGATCGAAATCCACCAATCACATTACATCGCAGTGATACACCTGATAAAGCGTTAGCAGTCGACCTCATCGCCAGATGAAGACTTTCTTTTACGGTAGTGACTTATTTGTGACTCACAGTTCTAAATATACGTTTAGGATATCAACGAGAACATAGATTAACACATTAAGTGAAATGGCTTGCTTTCAAGCAAGGTTTTATTTGTACTGCACGGAAGTTCCATACTGCTAGACTGTGATTGGCTCTTTCTGTGAACTTTCGATCCGACCTCTAGTATAAATACAATTTCAATTTAATTATGTTTTAGTTAATGACGTAAAGTTCACCATTAACTAATATGTCTTTCAGGGCTAGTTTGAAGGTACCAAAGTATGGTCTGTTCTATTTCCCAATAGACCAGACTACTAGTATTATTCCTATTAAAAATATCCAAAAAGTTGTCCAAGGAGACAATGTAAGTAAGGGCAGCAAAGTAATGGTTAAGTTCGAGAGGCAAGTTTATCAAGCTGAAATAATCGGTGTCAACGGTAAATGTGCTCATTTTTGGTTTACTAGTATTCAATTCTATTGTGTTCGTTTAACTTTAGAGTAACTATACTCAGGCTTCCTTTCACGTTGTCTAAACATCTGCTTATACTTCAGATGATTTTTCCGAATTGCGCGAAACGGAATCTAAGTTTCTCGAGGACCCCGGAAATTCTGAGCTGTTCAAAAAGCAAGAGGAGGCGACATCAGCCATTACGAGTGAAGAGCCGACCGAGATAGCTGATAAAACGATCGAGAAAGCTGCGTCCAAAAAGCGGAAACAGTCAGTCGCGGATGAGAAGGCGAAAGTGAAAAAGGAAAAGGGAAGTGAACCGGAACAGGTATGTACAGTTACGCTGTGAATTCGAAGAAATTTACTTTAAAGATCTGTCCCGCTTCCCCTAAGTAATTCGCATAAAACAAATTTTTGCCTTATAGGCCACCATCCCCAGAACACCATCCCCAGCACCTTTGTCATACACACCAATGCTGCCATCAGTTCTGTCGCCTCTACCACCGACACGTAAACTTAGGCCGTCCCACTCCGTGCCACCAAACCTTTCCATGCAGAGCCAGACTGACAGCCATTCAGAAATAATCACATGGCTTCGGCATATTTCTGCGCAACAAGAAGCAATGAAAGAGGGATTGAATACGCTAATTGGAGTGCTCGCTGGTAAAACCGAATCAGCCACCCCCCCTGCTGAAAACTTTGAGGCCAAAGTTCAACAAGAAGTTCCACCATTCATTCCATCTGTAAATGAGTGGATGAACACAATGTTATCTGAGGAAGAAACTCGTGAGGATCCATACCTGTATGGTTTTTAAGTGGTACTGGATGATGATTTATATTGGTTATGTGCCTCATAATTTTTCCTTAGGGTAAATTTTATAATAGTAGAGGCGTGTCAATGTGCAATGTTAAATTTTGAAAGTTTCCATTTGTGCAATGTTTTTTCCATTACGTAATAAAGATGGAATCAAAAAGTTGCTTTCATTTGAAAGGGTAAATCTTATCTGTCTATTTTTTTTCAAGTTCCCAAATATGTTAAATGTTATAACTTTTGCATAGAAAGATAAAGTGTTTTCTGCATTCACCTATGGTAATTCAACTAGTTTTTTATGCTTAAACTAGCTTTTTTCTGTTGGTAGTTAACCAATGATATTTGTTCACCTTTGGGGTGAATCTGTGTTGTTGGATGTGTTATACAAATTATGTATTGTTCTTAGTTGAATGGTTTAATGACAAATCACTGGAAACACATTCTTTATCAAATTTTAGAGAGATGTTAGAATATGTACTTAATCCTTTAACTCAACTGAGTGACCAGGGCAGAATTTCTCCTTACAATACCAATACAATATCAAGCAGAAAAGCAGTGAGAATAAAGAGAAATATCAAGTTGGGAGATTATCAGTTGATCTAATACTAAATTCTCCTCACTTAACTCATCAGAAATGTATTTACCTATATTTAGAAATAACAAACACTGATGGGAAAATAGAGACAGATTTATACACAAAGCCTTCCTACAACCATCTGTTTATGTTTCACACACCATGTCAGCCATGCACAAGTAAGGAAACCAAACCATACACCCTTGCTCTGAGGTTAAGACTGATCTTGTGAGAAGGTATTTAGTTTGGGGCAGTGGAACTGTGCACATTTTTTGTTAGAAAAAAGAAGAAACCAAGAGTTTGTCACCAAACAAATTCAACAAACAAAATTGAAAATCAGAGGGGAATAATCAATACCATGCCCAAATGGCAGAGTACTTGTGGTTATCATCGACCATTTTGTTCAAGGGTATGTAGGTGACCTTTCAGGAGAATTGCATTCCCTCGTGCTGAACTCCTAAAAATGTAAAAAGCAGTCAAAGGAGTTCCTCTTAGGGCTTTTGAAGGACCAATAAGCCATACTGATTAACTAGCACATGTGAAATTTGTCTGACAGTGCTCCAAGTAGTAATGGAAAGGAAAGAAGTAATGTAGTGATGGGTGAGGTCTGGTGTGCAACATCTGAAACTACGCCACAGACTTAATTTGAAAAGAACCTGAAAAATTTGTATCATTAGTTACAAGCCAGATTGTTATCACAGTACAATTACTATTGTGCAAGGATTGTCAGAAACACTCAGTACATTTAGGATCAACAACCAAGTTTTTATCAGATATCAATAACCACAAGTTGCATCAGGGAGCACACTTACATGTAAGGCTCTCTGTGGAGTATGGAGAGAGAGATCTCTTCAGATATTACAACAGTCTGGGACACCATGAACTTAATGATATTTCAGTTCAAGTGATAGATAGGATGACATACAAACAAGCCTTACAAGATCAAGAGGGGCAATGGACCTACAGGCTTCACACAATTGGGCCACAAGAGTGATTTCTTTTTAGATAAGAATAGATGGGAAAGAATCTGGGCACACTGAATTTCAAAATCTGTTTTCAAGCAACTACACCTAAAGTGTGTTGTTATTGTGTAGATCTGTGAATAGTTTTTGCTTGAAAGCTTTACCCTGACAAGGATCAAGTACTACCACTGGGGTTTTACTTAAATCTTCTTTCGTTTGTGTGCCATTGCCAGTGCTATTCAGCTGGAACGAAGTTTGCTTATTTACAGAAAATGTAACACTACTTTCATGATAGCAAAACTATGTGAAAAGGAACTTCTATATGAAATGTCCAAATTGTCACAGACCGTTAATAAATAGATTTCTTGTTATTCATTTTGATGTTGGTTGATTTCCTCATCATTATGCATACAGTTCTTGGTTAAAGAAGACGATAATACTTTGGGTTAAACGGAAATCTCTCCGAAATTACCCTCGTCCATCGAACTGATACTCGTTTTAAGTAAAACAATGTATAAATTATCGAGAATAATGAAACTGGTCGATCGATGAAGGACATGATACGATTGTCAGTTCTAACTTATGTTCCCAGCAAACTGGCTCAGATGTCTTGGTTTCCAAATATGCTTTTGAGTAAGAGAGTTTAAACTTTGTCCAACACGCGTAACTAAGACAATGAGGAGAAAATTCAAGTGTACGTTAGGGGTAGGACTGCTATGGAATCCAACAAATACGAGGGCGTCCTCACTTCTTTTTCTTCCTTTCTCTTAATTTAGGATGTGACGAGTTAGATGCCAGATGAGATTTTCTTGCTGTTTCTTCCTTTGCATGGAAATCGTCTTGGTCGTCGACCCGTTTGTTTATAGGAACCACTACAATTGCCAGTATACAGATCAGCTGAAAAATACCACCGAGAAAAAGACCGTAGTGAAGAATCAAATCCCACATTTTCGCTACGCGGTAATGATGTTGTTGACTTGCGACCGTTGCGCCCAGTGTCATTTTGGCTTCCTCGACAATAAATGCTCGTACCCAGACCTTAGTGAGAAAACATGGCTGCTGCCAGTCCACCTTCTGGAGCGAGCGACAATACTAACACTCCTTCTAAAATAATTACTTGTAAGCCAGAACTGGATTTTTCCAATCCTTGGAAAATGAGTGATCTAGTACTTGTTGTCGAAAACAAGCGATTTCATGTTCATCGTACCATTTTATCGATGTGTTCTCCTGTTTTCGACCGGATGCTTTCCTCGGACTTCAAAGAGAAAACTGCAACTGAAATTCCACTTCCTGGGAAGAAGGCGGACGAAATAGAGGAACTCCTTCGTTCTATTTACCCTTACGTTGAACATCGAATCTGTGAAGAAAACTCCTTTTCTTTGCTAGAGCTTTCATGTGAATACCAGCTGGATAGACTGAAGGCTCGATGTGAAAAGTACTTCATGTATAAGAGTATGACTAATGACGAAGCACTCGAATTTGTCGTTATGGCACAAAGACATCAGCTTAGTAATGAACTGATTCAAAGGTGTATGCAAAGGTTTGTTTCGCAGGAAACTAACTGGGAAACTCTTAAGAAAAATGAATTATTTTCCCAGCTAGAGCCACGGTATTCACAGCAACTTGTAGAGGAAAGAGTGAAGTACCTGGAGAAAAGGCTGACCTCGTGTAAGTCAACTATTGAAGTTTTGAAGATGAAGAAGAGTGACAAAGACGATGATGACCATGGGCCTTGTTCCTATCGAAGACATTTTATGATGAGGAAACGGTTCAGAGAGCTTGAACACTCGAGTCCGTTTGACTAAGAGTCTCTACACTTCTGGAATAAAAAGGGTGTTTGTGTGATGAACTTAATATTTAATTATGACATGTGAAAGAGGAGTAAGCACGAAATTCAAGACTCCAGTTGATAAAGTATTGGACTCATTGGTGTATTCGGGCTTTCAATTTTTTAAATTAACATTGTAGCATTTTGAATTCAACATTTAGTCAATATTTGCAAAAAATCTTATTTGGTAATTACTCTGGAACTGTTGAATGTGGGTTACCTCAAACTATCTCATGTCCAACATGTGCCAGTGAGACAGTTAAATTAATACAGTCATACAAAAAAAGTATCTCAAAATTTGTTATAAACATCAAGTTACAATGTTTCGTGAATTACTTTTGCTATCAATGGTTTATGAGCTTAGATATTTGTGTGCACTGTGGAAATCTCAGAGAAGAACCAAATTATATTCATCTTAAGGAAACACTAGATAATGTTAGTTAGAGTTAGAGTAGGTAAAGCAAGACTTCAGCATAAGTTTTATCTGTCTACTGTAGATACAATAGAACCCAGCTAACTCTCAAGGGAAACAAGGAAGAGTTTGAGTCAGCTGATTGTAAATGATGGAAAAATGGGGTTAAGGGAAATCACATCTTTTTTGAGTTAGCTGGGGGTTTCAAGTTAACAAAGTTTGAGTTAATAGGAGTTCTACTGTAGTCTTTTTTCAATCATCTTAACAAGGCAGAAAATGTTAGTTTTCTCAAACCAGTATGAGCAGTTAACTAAGGGGTGAAAAATGGAATGAATCATAGTAAATTACTTAATTTAATAATAACCCCTCCATGGTAGAAATCTAACATCTGTCTTGGACCTAGCATCAAACTAAGAAAATAAGGAAGGTGATTCATTGAAAATTGATGTTTTTAAAATCAGCCAAAATTAATATTCTCTAACATGCTGATATTTTCATCTAATGCCCCCTAATTAAGAGATCAATTCTGCCCAAAATTTATCTAAATTGCAGGAGCCAAATAAAATGTCATGCTTTCAGGCAGTTAATGTTAAATGAACAGTTTAGTTGATTGCTCTCAAACTCAAGGCTTGCCACTCCTAGACATTAATCACCACTGAATGGGAGTCCTCTACCTCAATCAAATAAGAGACAAGAAGGAAGAAGAAAGAAGAGAGGCATGCACTGGCACCAGTAGAGAAATTCTGCAATTCCTAAATTTTTTCTTTACTCTTTGATAATTTGTTTGCTTAGTTGCCAGTTGGCAGCGAGGGGTGCAAAAAATTTGCAATCAAATAAAGATTACTTAATGTAATGTGCCTCAAGAGCATCAGAGATTCAGAGCTACAGAGATTTCAAATTTAAGGTTGTTATGTCAGCCTAACAATTTCACCAATCCACCCCATCCCTCCCCCTTCATGAAAATACTTTCAACAACACAAAAAAACATGACCTCATCTGTTTTCCCTTAGGGCTCTCTCTAAGCATTTTGAGAAGTTTTAGTTTTTGAGTACTTATCATTTCTTCCTCTTAAATCATATTCTTCCATAAAGTGTACAGTAGTTTTACACATGAATGGCATTAACTTTTTAGAGCTTTTGCTTTTTTTCAAACAAATAAGGAAAAGAGGTCCTGCTCAGTAAAGAGCACTTACAAGAAAAGAAAGCAGCAGTTGAAAATTATTTCGTGATACTACCAATAGTAAATTGATAAAATAACCATTTGTTTCAATCAATTATTTTTCAATAGTCCACATTCAGTTTACTGTCTTTACCTTTAGGAGTGATGCAGAAATAGCTCGCTTAAGATGGTTCAAATATTTGCTTAGGAGCTAATCTTGAGCAAATAAGATCTACAGAAGATCTACAAAGTGTGTCTTAGTACCTGCAATCCCACGTTCACTGAACACTCAAGATGGTTTGGAGCAAAAATTACATTACCATGTTTCTCATTTACCCACAAACCCTAAATGCTCCAATTTTCTCCTTGTAGAAATTCAAGTTTCAAATAAATAGGCTTCGTCTCTAAAATGCCCATACTCACTCCTCCCTCCTAACCAAAGACAGGAAGTCTATCTTGAAATTTGGCACCATGCCTGACTTTCTTGCATAGTGCATTGCAAATGTTATAACAACATACTATAATTGTAATTTATTTATTCAGACTAGGTAGCATTATCAAAGAATAATTGCGTTTGAGAGGCTGTAAGAGTTTCCCCTTTAAAATTTTGAAGGTTCTTCAACCAAGGAAGTGTCTACTGCATATTAAAGTTAATTTCAGTCGAGTGAATGTTCACATGAATAACAACAAATGGTATTTTGGTCTTTTGCCTAGGAGCTCTGAAAATTAGTATGCCCTCCAGGAACATATTAGAGTGTTTACAGTTGGTTAATGATACTGATCCTAATTTAAAGTAAAACTACAAACAAGTTATGAGTCAACTTCGTTTTTCATGAAAAAAAAAAAAAAAAAATGGCAGTTGCAACAAGTACACAGCAGATATTCTATTGCACTCAGTTTTTAATGGGTTCAAATGATAATTTAACTTACATTGGAACTCACATGAAGCTCTTAAGAAATCATACTGGCCTTGCGTTATATCTATAACATCAGCTCCTTAGGTTACAATCTTTACCTTAAAGCTTCATACAAGATAACAACTAGAGCACTTAAATTTTCACACACAAATTAAACACCATGAATTCACTGAAGGAATAAAGAGTCAAGCTAATACTTAATACCACAAATATGAACCATTCAAGACAGTGACTTGGGAAATTTGAGCCCAACAAGCATCATGCAATAGGCTCAGCAGAGAAAGAAAAATTACTAATTACCATCTTTGTTGCAGATCTCCTGTGATATCTGAAGCATCCATTCTTCAGGATTCACTTTTTTACCCAAAGAACTTCATATATGACATCAAGGATGGCATCTATTATTGCAAAAATCAAACTAAACAGTTTGAATTCAATTGAAAATAACAAAACCATACTTCTTTGAATAATAAGACATTACGGCATGGAGTAGGGGTTCTAACCTTCAAAACAAGTAGTTATCTATCATACATAATTATTAAATTTATTTTTTATTTAGTATAACTGGCGACCAACTCCTAAACTTCAATAATCTTAAGATCTGTCTCCAACTTGGCCTGTCTGTTTCCATTCACCACTTCACCAATAATCCAGGATGGTTTTCCATCTAAAGCTTCAAGCTCATCACAGTAACTCTGGGCTTTGTCATGTGGCAGACAAACAAGAAGACCACCTTAGAATCAAAACAAGTAATGTTAAAAACCTTAAATAATGTTTTAGATGTCTATATTCAGTCTACAGGCAGTCCCTCATTTTAAAAGAAAAAAAAATTAGTCTCACTCCTAGGGTTCTATGCAGGCCACTAACATCAACTTTTTTTCACTTTTTTTTCCCTTATGCAACTTACTTTGAAAAAGAGGAGGAACTGCAAACATTCTAAGGTATATCTTGCCATAATAACCCTACACACCATTGTTATGAGCTGACAAAAGCATTTTTATCATTTAACCACCAATGAAATACCAAGTAAGTTTTTGCTCAAAAACTTGATATCTTCACATGCGAAAATAAATGCTATCTTCACACCTGAAAAGATCACTTTTGCTATGGTTACATATGAAAATCACACCTTTATAAATAAATTAGTATTTCATTGGTGTTAATATAATAAATAGAATATTTTATGGCTGCTTGGAGGTACGACATTTTTCATTTTGTGTTGAAAGATATTTCTCTTGTTTTCTTTGCTCACTTGTGAAATATTTTTCAACACTTGAAGAGAAATTTCTTACCTCTGTGCTGCCATGTAATATCCTCTCTCTATTAAAAAAAACACCAATGAAATACCAAGTGATCCTTTGTCTGAAACATGATATCTTCATACATGAAGATAACATGTTATCTTCACATGTTTTGTGATATTTTCAAACATTAAAAGAGAAATTTCGTGTCTCTGTGCCATCATGCAATCTCTATCCATATCGCTGCTACTACTTGAAATTCACAAAAAGTAAAAATGAATCAATCGGTTATTGAAAGAAAATGCAACTGCCAATGAGAATACCAATGACAAGCACACTTGGGCTCAATAGGCAACCTATATGGCATGTTGTTAGCAAATAATGCCAACACAGTTTAACCCTTTAACTCCCAGATCAAATTGGTAATTCTCCTCACTGTCAACCATACAATTCTTACAATGTTAGTGCAGAAAACTTAGCATTGGATCAACTAATTATCCCCAAATTGATATTTTTCTTTATTCTCATCACTTATCTGGTTGCTACTGTATTGATATTGTAATGGGAAATTCTGTCTTAGTCACTCATGGGAATTAAAGGGTTAAGGTGGTACTGGAAGCTAACTTGGTGAATTTTCAACAATTTTGAGTATAAAACATTTCAGGACAGATTTGTTGCAACAACTTGGAAAGATTTTTAGTGTAGTCTGCCAAATACTATTTTATTTCAACAATTTCATCCTCAAAAAATCAAAAAAAGGTTGAGATCCAATACCCTCTCATTTAGTAAATTTGTGGCAGAGCATGACAGACTGTGCTGCAGACTTTTCCTCATTGTAATTAGTTTTGGTTTGCCAAGTTTTAGATCAAAAGAATTAAATCTTCCTAGAGATTATGCTGTTGCAATAGCATGACACCATGAAGCTGCACTAATTAATTTGTGAAAAGCAGCAATATCTTTGGTAGAATTCATCAGAGAACCCATGTTTACTTTCCTTCCTTCAGTCTCCATCTTGTGTAAGCCAGTGATAAATAGCTGCAGCGGCAAAATGCAAAATAGCGCAATATAGATGGTCATGATTGCCATATTCATCTTTCAATTTTTTTCCTCAAACCAATCACAACACAATAACTATCTGCCCCATCTGTAGCAACAACACCTATCCTGTAGTATTAAGAAAACCTTAGCACCTATGCTGTGCATTAGCAAGAGATGGAAAAGCAAAAGTAGAGGTTGCAATAAATGTTCTAGGCCTTCTCTCACTTAAAGAAATTGATGTTGCTTAGCTGGAAATTGAAAAGAAGGAAAGAGCATCACTAGAAATAACAAAAATACAAAGTGGTGTGGGCATTTAAAAGTCACAACTTTCAATCTATTAAACATGGTGTGACAAAATAGAATACATGGTTATTCACTCCCTTATGGTTGTGAAACATCTCTAAAATTAGAAATCATTAAGAAATTTTTAGAATACCAAGGCTAATGAAAACATATTTGTATTTTTGTTGCTTGGGAAATATAAGTGGTCAGCTACCATCAAGCTCTTTCCCATAAAAAAAAAGTGTGTCATAATTCATTACTAAATGATTACTTATGAAATGGATGTGTCAGAAATGTAAGTTAAAGAAAATACTGGATGAACTGCCAACACAATTAGACCAGGATCCCATCTCTATTTTGCTGCCAGATTGTCCTTTGAGGCAAAAGTTATATTGCATGTATTTCTAAGACAGCATGTTTTTTAATTGTCAAATTTTAGAAATAAACTACATAAAACTTAGCCGTAACCTTTACTATATGACAAAATAAAAGCATTCCAAAACAGTAGAGTTAGCCAGTACTGCTTTGATTGGAAAGCTACATCATGTTCAGTTATGACTCACCAGAAGTTTCAGCTGAAAATCCATCCAGTAATTTGAAATTAATACCAGAAGCCTTAAAAATCTTCACCATGTTGGCCAAGATGGGAAGTGTGTGTATTTTAAATGACACCTCGCCTTTCTGGTTTTTTGCCAAATTATTTGCATGTCCAAGAATTCCAAATCCAGTAACATCTGTAGCACCATGGGCATCATACTTGTGCATCATGCGAGCAGCATTCCGGTTCAACCTAGACATTGATTCCACAGCATTCTCGTAGCTTTTTTCCACTTCTGCAGGTGTAACAACATCCTTGATCTTGTTCCAAAATTTGGGCTGTAGAGATGTCAAAGTTAGACTTCAAGTTAGCACCTTACATTTAGAGTAAAACTGGTCTCAAAAGAGAAAAAGAAAAAAAAAGAAGACATCTTGGAGAGAGTTATCCAGTCTCTCTGATAGCCTGTACAACAAATCAGTTATTTCATCCCAGAAAGTAGTTTATACACAACAATAAAATTTTCAGTAAATCATTTTTATGAAGGGAGAGACTCACATCAATATCCTCCAACCACTGGTGTGCATTGACAGCAATCTGAGTTCCAAGAGGTTTAGTAAGGACTAAAACATCACCAGCCACTGCACTTTCTGGCCTTAACATAAAGTAAATCAACAATTTGTTGGTTAATTTATTCTTCAAGGCTGGTTGTATTTAATTCAGCAAATTTGATAAACTGAAGATGACAGGAAGATGAATTAACCCTTTACACCCTAATATTAGTGTCCATATTCTCATCATTGTTGTCTTTACATTTCCCATGATACTGACAAGGAGAATCTATTTGACAATCAGGAGCTCATTGAATTAAATTTCCAATCTTAACATTTTAATAGGCCAAAAAAGACATTTTTCCAAAATCTCTTGACAAAACGTTGCATCCCCCTCTTTGGATCATATTTCAGCGATCTCTCCCTATGGAGAAAAGTTAATAAAATTTTGTATTGTATTAGAAACTCATAAACCCAAGACTTGTCTAAATAATTCAGGACTGGCCCAAGAAATGAGATAATCATAGACAAGATGACGAGCAAAAGAGGTACATGATGGTTTTATTGTCAAAAGATTATAAATTTGAATAAAATCCCAATTGGACAGTAGGTTTTGCCTCGTTACTCAATATTGATCTTCATGTACCAAACTTACATGATAAATTCGTCGTCGGAGACAACACTGGAAGCAACTCCACCAGTAATGAACCATGGATTAATCACTGTCTGTCCTCCGTTCACTGTTGTACCAGCTTCTAATGCCAGATCATTGAAACCTTTGATCACTAATGGCGTCACAACTTCTCTTTCCTTCAGTGTCATTTGACTGCTTACTCCAAGTAACATTAACATATTATCACATTCAGTAACCCCCATAGCGTATAAGTCACTCAACACATTCGCGCAAGCAATCTTTCCTTGCATGTAAGGATCATCCACGAGAGGATAAAAGAAATCAGTGGTCTGAACAAGACTTATTCCCTTATGCCTTGTGGGAAGAACACAACTGTCCATTCCAACACCGATTTTTCCTTCTCCTCTCTTGTGATCAAGTCCCTCAAGGAGCTTTAGCAGTTGCTCCTGAGGGACTTTGCATCCTCATCCTTTGAGTTTTGTGAAGTCTAACAGACGAAACGTTTCGGACAACCCGTGATCCTGAGGGATAAATCTGGAATATAATCCAAGAGACATGGTTTCACAACCTCGTGACACCTTCTATTTAGATTTCCCAAGTTCGAACAAATGGGACGGAGATGGAAAACTGCGATCCTTTTGGTCAGCTTAAATAGATCGGTGGTGTAACTACCATGCAGTATACACCGACATCCCCAAGGCCATGATTGCCGGATTTCATATCGTGAGGGACTGGGGCGAGTTTGGAGCCTGCTGGACATTTGCAACCAAGAGCAAAATAGCGGTGTACGAAAAAATAGGCGACCAACTAGGCGACCATGGATGGATCCTCTTCCTCTAAGAAATAGCATTGGAACTGTGCTGGGGCACTGTGTACTAATAACTGGCGGAATGAAGGACTAGATTTTATACCCTTAGTCCAATAGGTAAAAGAAACGGTGAACTAAAGGCATCTTTATGAAAGTTCTTATGAATGAAAACATTGACTGACAGAAGCAAGTGATTTGTTCGGCACACTGGTCCAAAGGACGACGAGAAAGCATTGAAGATAACAAAAAATTGCCTTTTACGGGCATAAATGCCCTAGACGCGCCTCTCCATTGAATAGCGGGCTCTGTGATAAATGACACTAGAGATCACAAATTTGAGCCTATGACAATCGAATTCAGAAAAAGGGAAAAGGCGAAAGGGCAATTTCAAATACTTTGAATATATCATTATCATAAATAATTATCATGGAGAAATTTGAAATCAAATTATAAAAAAAATGGGAGATTTTTCAAACAAAGGATATCCAGCTTTAGGCGACCGTGCAGGAGCCAAGTCACCATTAGTCTTGGTGTCATGGGATGGAAATTTCGTCGTTAGAGAAAGAGCATAGAGAAGAGTGCTGACGTCAAGGGAATGAGTTGCACGTAGCAAGAACTAGTAAGCGAACCATTAAGGTCGTCACACCATTTTAGCTTTTGGTAGCTTTTGCAGCAGAACAGCGGCTACCATTGTCCCTAGATAAAATATTGGTCCATCTAGCAGATGCTATAATAGCGCAATTTTGCATAATAACACAAAATCTTCTTAGCGATTTTGGTTTCGAAGGTCATTTGGCACTAAAACAATGAAACGCAATTTCCCACTGATGTTGGTGGGGAATTCCGACTCAAAATTTTGAATCGCATTGTTTTTAGACGTGAGCAACTTTATCGTTTTGGCATAACTATTTCCCCAGATGCAACCTCTCGAAATCTCTATCAGGAGACAGCGGAATCCATCGAGTATTCGCTTTTTTCTTGCAAAATATTGTTTAAATTTTGGAAATATGTCTAATCCTGGTTTAAATATAACTGTAAACTCAGACGGAATGTGATATAATTTTTGGGAAACTTGATGTTTAAGAAGACTTTATTTTAATGAATCGTATCTTACTGTGGAAAACATTATATACACTATAAAAGTGGCAAAAATGTTTCATATTTTTCAAAGTTTCATCGCACGGAATAGAATTATTTACAAAATTGAGGTCCAAATTGCCAGAGAAAATAGTCAGCTCTCAGACCATTTCTAAAAATGGGAAAAACTATTAAGAGATTGGCCTCGGACAGGTGGAAGTGGAAGAAAAAAAGTAATAATTCAGCAAACAATAAAGGTAAATTCAAACATATATATGTCACACAGGTGAATAGTACTTTTCCCACGCGCTAATGGGCTAGTATGGAAGTGAATAACAATACGGCTATTCACCTCGATCAAGAGACTGTCTCTAAGAATTTGGAATGAGAGCAACAGCTTTAGTAAAAAACAATGTTGGAAGCCACAACGAGCGGTTTATCTAGTAAGTTAGGTTGAATTTACGTTCATCGTTCCTAATCCTTTTTTAGTTTTGTATATATAGAGAGTTTTCTCATTACATAATCATATTATAGTTCAACAGATGTCTTCATCTTTGAAATGTTTATCAACTTTTTGAAAAATTCGTTCCTGAGTTAGATTTATCAACCAGATGAACACCTTAATTGGTGCACACCATTAAGTTTGAATGATGCAAGGCACGTCCATGAACTCCCAACCATCTTGAAATGAGTGAAGTTCATTGAGGATTTTTCTTTTTGATGCTGTCAGGAAGGTGAGAGTTTACAATGTCCTGGTTGGGCGGTTACTATAAAGACGAAATATATCATGTTGCACTTCCAGATAAACAGTAGCGAAAGTTGAGGAGAAAGCCGTTTATTCAGCTGCAGAATGATCGCGACAACAAATTCACCAGAACGCGGAACGCAGACGATAACTTATCAAAAACTGTTATGCTCACCCACTTTTGCTAGTGGGTTAAAGCAAATCCCAATTTATTTCTGTGCAGCTAACATTCTCATCTCCCTCGCAGTATTCATTGGGAATTTCCTTATCCTTGTTGCCCTAAACGAGGAAGGTTCCCTTCATCCACCTTCCAAACACTTGTATCGTTGTCTGGCCGCAGCTGATCTGTTAGTTGGTCTTGTTACTCAGCCTTTCTTTGCTGTTTATCACATGTCCTTAGTTTACGGACATTGGAGTCTTTGTCGATGTTCAATCGACGTAGTCTACATCACAAGCTATACATTATGTGGAGTATCATTGTTAACGTTGACGGCCATTAGCGTGGACAGACTTCTCGCCCTGTTGTTGGGAATGAGATACAGACAAATCGTAACTTTGAAACGCACGTACATCATTACAGCCATCCTTTGGATTATATCCGGTGTTGCTGCTGCATTTTACCCTTTAAATCTTCAAATAACCCGTTTGTATGGTATTATAATTGCAGTATTTTGCCCAGTGATCTCTACCTATTCATATATTAAGATCTTCTGCGCTCTCAGTCATCGTCAGACTCACATACAAGATCATAGGGGACAACAGCCGAGCCAACCAAATGCACTGAACATGGAGCGATACAGAAAGGCAGTATACAGTGCCCTATGGGTGCAGTTAGCATTGGTTGCTTGTTATGTACCAAAATTTATAATTACAATTGTGATCATTCAGAGAAAAACTCATTCTTCACATATAATAATCGTTGATGGAATAACGTCGCTTGCAGTGTACTTAAACTCAGCCTTGAACCCGTTTATTTACTGCTGGAAGATAAGAGAAGTGAGACAAGCAGTAAAGAAGACAATCAGAAGAGCACTTTGTTGTACATGGACTTAGATATTTTTCCCTGGGGTCACACACGTATCACGATGCGTACGAGCTCATAGTCTGATAAAACTACAGTTTTAAGTACAGGAGAAACGGACTTGTTATCGGGTGAGATTATAATAATACGTATCTCCATTAATGTAACTCAGTTTCAAGTCGCTTCCTGCTAAGGAAGCCGGGATGGAATCATCATCTCTGCTCGAGAACAGACTTAACCTTTTCCGTAAGTTACACAAACTTTTGATGAATAGTGCATTATTCAATTCTTTAACTACCTGGCAACTTCACGAAACGTGGAAAGAAGTATCGCAGGATAGGTACGTAACGGCAATTTGCGATGCTTTGAAACTCTGAGGAGATAGACAATTAAAGTCATGTAAATAAACGATTTTAAACAAACGGGACATTTGAATTTATTGTTTAAGTTTTATTGTATAAGTTGTTTAACCATGTTAATAAGCGGAGAACAGTTTTATGAATGATCGGTGGGGGAGCTTATTAAATCATTTCCTCATAAAGGAGTCTCGTATTTCTTAAATTGAGTCGGAGTTTCAGTTTAAATTTTGTTTTAAACTTTTATGTCAAAAAGCGGCCACAAACGATCAGATCAGTGTTTCATTTCATTAGATAAAAATTGTTTGTCGTTCTAAGTAATTCTCCACTCATCGATCGATTCTTCATCTGCGTTTTCGAGGAACTTCAATTCTTTTGAACAAAGACAAGGCGGGGGCGAATATTAATTTGGCGCATGCAATCACCAGCCGTATACACGCAGATTGTCCAAAAACTAAACAAATTAGGACTTTTCTAATCTTGTAGTCAAATTAACTTTCGAAAGGAAAGATATTTGACCAAACGTTGCTCCTGATTAAAAAGTGTAGGAGTTATATGAATCAAACGAAATGAATTTCTTTCTTGTTAGGGGAAATATGTGTAAGTTTTGAAAGAGATAAGGTAAACAGAGAGTGGGAGAAATTATATAAGTTGGGAAAATGAATAAAAATGAAAACTGCAGGGTGTGTTGGCTTAGTTACGCGATATTTTGCATCTGTCGTAGTTCCTTTTTTTAATCCTAGTCGGACACGAAAAGAAGAAAATATAACTCATCGATGTTTTGTAATAACAAGACATTAATTACACGTTGTTTAAAATCACTCGGGATCTAAGTCACACTATTGATTTTTTGTTTGTTTAAGTGAAAATCTATCAACAAATCTTTCAATTTGAAAAACTTAGTAAATTTTTGCGGATCGCCAAATTTTCGCCAATCTTCCGTGGACCCAATGTCCTCTTTGGAGGTCTCCAAATTTTGGCAAAGCAAGCAATCAAATTCTTTTTTTAGACCATTCAGCTGTCATGTTGTGATTGACGTATGAACCATCAGTGACGTTTTATTCAAAGAATAATAATAATAATCTGATGCGACCGCCGCCAAAATTTGGACAATGCGAATTTTTTGCCAATTTTTGACGCGCGAAAAAATTAGAAAATATTTTAATTCGCTCTAGTGCGACCCGGCCTTTGTAGCGATTTTTTATTTCATCTCAAAGGTATCTCCGGGTAATGTGAAAAAATTGCTTTTGGTATTTTATTTACGCAATTGGAAATCATTCATATTTTTAACGCTTACAAACAACTTGAAACATTTTTTTACAAATATCTGTCACAATCTGACACCTGTCAATTAGAGAGCGTGTACGAAAAAAAAAAAGCGCATGTACACTTTTGAAAAGAAAAAGCAAGGGTATAGGTTTGGCAAATAAACTCAATGTTAACAACTGTCAAGACAACTTTTTCTTCAAAACCATTTAATGATCTTATGGAAAGTATTCACTTCCATCGATAATTAGTGTACGAAGAATATTGTAAAATTGTAAGGAAAGTAATCGAAAGTAAATTCAAATGTATGTTTTGAAGTTGTGGGAGTTTGCTCGTTTGTTTGCTGTAGTGGCGCGTGTAAATCGTGGTTTTTTTTTTTTTTACCAAATAATTTAGGTTAAATGAGACACTTTAACAAGACCCAAGGAGAAGTTAATGAGGCTTTTTCTCGTTTAATTCATTCGGTTTTTGCGGTGTAATTTACGATGCAAATGGACAAATTGAACAGGCCGACTTGAAAAGACTTACCGAAAGCGTGGTTGAGGTAGGACGTAAAACTTCGCTATAACTAACAAATTTGTTTGAGAGAATTCAGATATTAAATGAATGAAAGTTCCATCGATTAATTCAATTGTAAATAAATATCTCACTGTTTTAACTTTCTGAGTTACTTTTTGTGAAGGATTAAAGTTAATTGAAAACTGTTTTTGGGCCGCGAGTCAACCCATTTCATGACATATTTGCTCATGTGCCACAAATTCATATCGAAAACAATTTTCTACTGGCAACGAAAGTGATTTGAGGGTGAGAAAAGAGACTAAGTTATTAATCGGCTTGACTTGTTTAACTATACTTTGCTTGAAAATAATGCCCAGCCGGAAAACAAACTTAAAGTATGAAGAATGGCAAAGGAGCTAGGGTAACGCATTGGTGAGTCGCCGAGTACATCCCTACCATCGTTGCCACTTTTCATAACTATATCTCGTTTCTTTGGCTGAGCAGTATTTTTAAGCAAAGACGTCGATCACTACGTCAAGCCGATAAATAACTTATTAATCCTCTCTTTTCTCTCACTCAAATCACTTTGGTTGACAGAAAAATATTGGTTTCGAAATGAATTTTTATAAATTAAATTGGTTGACAAGCGGCGTAAAACCCGTCTGTAATTAATTTTAATCCTTCACAAAAAGTACCTGAAAAGTTAAAACGTGAGGTATTTGGTTACAATTGAATTAATCGATGGAACTTTCATTCATTTAATATCTGAATTCTCTCAAACAATTTGTTCGTAGTGAAAGGGCGAGCGAAGTTTTAAGTTCTACTACAAAGACGCTTTCGGTGAGTCTTTATATGTCTGTTCAATTTAGACATTTGTACCGTAAATTGCACAACAGAAACTGAAGGAATTCAGTGAGAAAAAGCCTTTGTGTCTAGTTGAAGAGTCTCATTTGAATTTAGCTTTTGTGGAGAAAAGACCGGATATACACACGCCATTGCAGTAAACAAACGAGCAAACTCTCACCACTTCAAAATCAAAAATTTGAATTTACTCACAATTACTTTCCTTTCTAGTTACTTGCTGAACAGAGGTAAATCTTCATCCATTAAGTAATCGTCGATGAGAGTGAATAACACTTTCCGTAAGATCATTGAATGCTTTTTAGGAAAACATTGTCGTAACAGTCCTTGCAAAACTAGTTCCGTTGCTTTTTCAAAAGTGTACTTGCGTTTTTCTTCAGTTCTTACGCGCTCTAGAATTGACTGGTGTCAGATTGTGACAGTTACTTGTAAAAATAATGTTTCAAAGCTTATTGGAAGCCTTCTAAATCACCTTTATCATTACGCAAATAAAATGTTTTGGTGAAGCATCTCTCTTTAATTTGCATTACCTCTATTTTAACTACCATCTACTCGCTCAAAAATTGTTCAGTTTATGGAAGATCTTGTTGTAATTACAGCCCTAAATCATTCAGGTTCTTTTGGAGAGAATTTCATTAAGTTTAAGGAAAAAAATAAAATTGTTATTCACCAGCCTAGGTCGGTCCGTATTGGGAAAAACTATCCTCAAGACAGAGGGCACAGTTTTTCCCAATACGGAACTCCCGGCTGGCGAGTAACATACATCTATTTAAGAGCTGGTTTGCAGAGAAGGCCTCTTCAGACTTGAACTTCCCGCTAAAGTTAACAAAATAGGCACTAAACGAAAACATGACCCTTGGATTCTATCTTGAGATGGGTGCAGCGCGTTTTGTTTCAGTATAGCGTCCGACTTGCATAGTGCGATATGAAAACAAAATGTACACACAAACATAGTTGCCAGCTCGAGTTGTAGAAAATACAAGGGACATTTTATATCTAAATAAAAACATGCCTCAGTCGAGGTGATTACAGTAAAGGCGTCACAAAGGGTCTTTTAAAAGCTCAATTTCAGAAAAACACCTACCTTAACCCTCCTAAAGACTCCTGATACTCGACGATTATTGCGACTAAAAGCATAACCCATTGTGTAAAATTAAAGTTTGAAACAAGACAATCCAATTGATGAAGTGAAAAAGGCTACTGGACTCTCGTAAGCAGATCTTGCGTTGAAATCGTACAACTTCATTGTGACGTTTGAGCCCGCTCCTCAGTGGTTCTCAGAGAGATCTGATTGGCTCAAAAGTTGAAATTTGAATTGCTCGAACGTTTACTTCGCGCGCATATCATAAAACATGAAAAACGTGTTTGAAACTTGTTTGTCTTTCTTTAGAACTTGGTTTGTTGAAACATACTTCGGCCAACAACACTTTGGTTCATCATGTCATGAAAACCGTATCAACGAAATCATGTCCTTTGGACCCTATGACAACCCGACCAATCATAGACTACTTCGATCATATTGTACCTGTCAATACAGCGAGTCACTGTTGACTGGTTTGTTTCTCGCTTGTATCAGTTAAACACTCCCTCGTACGACCTCTACTTAAACAATCGTATATTCATCAGGATAAAATGAAGAGCTGTAGACCTAGAGTAAATATTTCGTTCCTATCTAATATAATCAAAGAAGTGGTAGTGCTTCAAATATAATCTCATTTTTGAAACTAACAAGTGGTTCCCTTCTCTGCAATCTGCTTATCGCAAAAACCACTCTACTGGGTGTCTACTGAAACGGCACTTTTACGCGTCCCGACGATCCAATATCATTTTTCAAAAGGTTTTCTTGATGATGCTAGAATTAATCGGCTGCCTTCATTACTTTAGTTGTCAACATTCTCATACGCAGGCTCAGATGTCATGTTGGTTTCTCTGACATTGTACTCTAACGGGTTTCCTTATCCCTTTGCGGTCGAACGCATTTCATCATTTGTGGAATTTCAGTGAGGACGTTATCAATTGGAACATTCAGCATATGCTTTTTCTGTCACCCTAGGAAAGCAGAGGCCACCCAACTTACCTCCTTTTTGTTCGAATTGAAATCCTGTCATTGACCATTGTTTATTCGCTAACTCGGCAAGAGAACAGTCTGATAAAGTATAGTAGGAGACTTGACTGTCATATTAGGCCAGGAGCTCACTCTACAACAGTTCCTCAATAACATTTGCGTAAAGGCGATCTTGGCAATAAGTTATATAGGTCGGATCAGAAAATATCTGTCTCAAGATAATCTCAAACGCATTGTAAATGCTTTTGTGATATCAATCCTCGATTATTGCGAGGTGGAGGTGATAGCGGTGGATATTTCCCGAGCTGCGAAAGAGCGTAGTAAATATCCACCGCGTGCCGCCGACGCTGAGGTGAGTAGTTGTTTTAGTACTGCATATACTAAAAAGTGTGGCAATGGAGCACAAAATTTTGCCTTATTTGTTCCTGCAACGATTACAATAAATCCCGCGCGAGTTGCTCAGAGGTAAATAGCAAAGGATTTTCTGAATTTGAGTAATCAATCAGAGTGCTCCTTCAACACTATCCACTGCAATTTAGTATACAATAACTTTCTCCCCGATATCATATGACATGATCATGAAAAATTACAAGTTCAGAACCTTGCAATACGTCTAAATACAGACACCAGTCGGAAAAAACGCGTTAATTCTGAGCTTATACATAGATAATAATACATGGGCGCGCGTAGATATGGAATTTCTCTTCGAGTGTTTAACTCGATAGCTCACGAGTAAGAGAAGCGAACGAGAGAGATGTCGAGTTTAACACGAGAAGAAAAATTTCATATCTACATGCAACCATGTATTACTGTTCTGTTTGTCATATAAACACAACAGCCCTTTACTGACATGCAAAGTCGACTTAATTAACGAATGAAAGTAAAAGGATCGACAATCCCCGAATAAAAATCGTAAAGTGCGTTGGTGCACTCGAGCTGAAAACATGCGTTGAATCACTACGAAACAAACAATGGGCCTAATTTTCCTTATAAAAAATTCTCATTTATTGAATTGGTCCTTACTTACAGAAGAAATCTTTCAGGTACACCGCCAAAATCGGCCTGTGGAAAATCTTCCAGTTGTTGATTTTCGTTCTCAGCCGCGAGAAATGCCATTACCAAAGCCACTGAATACGTAACTTTCGGTTTTAATTTTCCTATGTTGGTTTTCTTCCCCTTCTAGAAAAGTTTGAACGTCACTGTCTGTAAGCGATTCGGATTTTTCAGTGTTTTAGCAGCCATAATCCGAAAAGGTTCCGACAAGTGACTTAAACTAAGAATGTTGAAGGCTTTGCCGTTCTTCATCAACTTGACCGAGTGGCGCGAAAGGGGAGTGACATGTCTGCAGCTGATTGGCGATATCAAACAAACGTGAAAAAATATCGTAATTTTTCACGAATGTTGCTACAGCTTTTCTCAGGACTGAAAATTTTTGTATAACACCGTAGTTTATATGATAAAGTATACTACTGCTTGTTCATTAAAGAACTGTTGAAAAGTTGAAGGTACTCCTCTTATCCCTGTTTAACAAGCAAATAAAAAATACAGAAACAAAATTTTAAAAATTTTCTCACATAATGAGTTATGTTGAGAGGTGCAACACCGGCGGGACGTGACTATGAGATTGATTTTGTAGACTTTAGTGTCTTTTTGCATTTTGCGAAGCGAGGACTATTTGTAAAATCACCAGCGGTAAATTTGAGTGAAAAGAACAAGAAAACTATGATAAAAGAATGGCTTCTTCTGGATGGCGAAAATCGATAAAGGATGTCAGATAAAATATCCCGGCCAGCGATGTTAACTAAGAGACAAAAGTTACAACAAATCGAGAACAGCCATCATCACTGATCTACTAGTTTTAAGCACGACAAACATTCTTAACAAGCATAAAAAGGCGAAAGTGACGAACACAAACTGATAAGTACAATGTCGTAAGCAAAAACCTTCACTTCCACTCCTCACATTCGGGTAGGATCAACATTAACATTACTGTAACTTGAGTATAATCTTTTATTACTAACTGTTTTAAGAGAATACTAAAATGTGCCCATAAGGAATAATTTCTGAGATAAACACTGCTCGTTGTCTCTTTTCCATAAAGATGAAACAGACCTGTACATGGCAGTAGACGCACAAAGAATATAGAGTCACACCGTCGTAAAGCTGCTTCTCAACCAAGCGGTGTGCCTGTCGACCCCATGAAATGCGAAGGAGTATTTACATAAAATTAAAAGATCTACTTCAACAACAATCGCAAAATTGTGCTTTTCCGCGACAAACTGAAATCAGTCTTCAAGCGATAAAAAAGAAATTTTGGTAAACATCTCCATAGAGAGTTCATGGTGACACTACTCCTCTGAGCTTCTTCTCGTTCATTTGTGGAAAACAAAAATGTGGCCCTTTTTTTCCCTCGTGGCTTGGCGGAGCTATCTGAATTATTTTTGGACTCTCATGGTGAACAAAAGTAAAGCTAAGAATTTAATATCTTTTAACACTCGCAGTGTTCTGTATCATTCAGCTGGTTCTTCATCGTCATCATCGTCAACCTGAGATTTCTCCGTTAGAATCACATACTCTCTGGTACTGAAGCCGAATTTAAGAACATCCTACAAGAAATAAAAATTATATAATTATTAATATACCACAAGGAAATATTACATTGCAAATGCCGGCTGGGAGGTGCCTTTGGTGAAAACTGTGACCGCGGTCTTGAAAGTGTTACCCGAGGCCACAGGCGTGACCAATAGAGGAACAGGTTCATTTTTGTAAACAAATTGGAAAATATTGCCTGCCCTAAGAATTAATCAGATTGCAAGTTTAACGTGCCCTCTTTGAAATAAAAGGGGTGTTACAAACATACGCACGTGAAGTGGAAAGCGGAGACAGAAACATGACGATCCTTGCCCAGTATTTTAAACTAAAAAACGAAGCCCTGAGTTTTGAGACTCGGCTTACGTCTCGTCACTTATGGAAGCTCGTCTGCAATTTATTTCTTCGTCCCCGCGTAAATAAAGCCGTTACCTTTTCTTTCAACTCATAGAATCTTCTGGGCTCAATTTTCTGGTTGTTGAGGAATGTTCCATTTGCAGATTCCAGATCAATGATATATGGTCTACAGTTGAAAAAGAAACAAACAAAAAAAAAACAACAAAAACAAAGTAAAAATGACAGAAATTATAATACTACAAACTGACTGCCAGTGCCTCAATAAGGGCCATGGAATTTTGCTCAACAGATTCAAACAAGTTATAAATTTTACTGAAGTGACGGGAAGGGCCTAGCAGTTGGAAATCAACAGATCTTTGCTAGTCAAGACGAAGAATAAATGAACGCTTTATCATCATCATCATTACTGCCATCAGCATTATCTATTTCCTGGGATAAAACCATTAAAAATTTGAGCGTTACACTACAACACACAAAACATCACATAAAACTGTTAGACATAATTATGTGTATGGTCTCATGTGGGTTTAAATTTTTTTCCTATCGTACTTTATGTCCACAGCTTGGGTAATTTTAAAAACTTTCCAAATATCACTTGTGTTTACACATTGCTATATGCTTGCACATTCAATGCAATTTCCTGTATATAAGCTTGGCATTGAGCTTTGAAGAATTTAAATGGTGGTAACAATAGCTTACCACTACACATAGAGTAAAAACCACTTGCCTTTTTTCTAAGTCATAATAAGTATATAGGTAATAACAGGATGTTGAGTGCAATTTGGTGTTAATAAGCACAAGTGAATTTCTTAAAGACAACAAAATTGCATGAATGCTAATGCACAAATGCAATTTGTAGTCTTTGAAAAATTTGCAAGGTTTTATTACACAAAATTACAAGAGAAATAATGTTATTACTTGTTTATAATGTACATGAAAAAACATCAAGGAAAGTCAAGGCACTGCCTCAGGCATAATAACAATGAAGATGAAATTTTGAAAGTGTGTGCGCACTATTTGTAATTTGCACTCATGTTACAACTTTGCACTTGTGTGCCAATCAGAAGCATGCAATTTTTTCATTTGCATTGTTAAATCTGTTTCCAGGAACACTCAAAAACCTCTACAGCAATGAAAAACATACTTGACTCTTTTGCCAGAAGTACCATCTGGCTTTTCATAATCTACTAGTCTGTACTGGAGAACTGCATGCTGTTTTGAACACGATGGGTGATCTACTGCGATATCAACTATCTGAAAGATGTAAATAAAGGAGATAACTAGCCAATCCTGTTTGATTGAGCAAAAAGTAAATGTAAAAATATTTAAATGCTTTACATATAACAATGACAAAGAAGTCTCAAAATCTCTTGTAACTTTTGCAATCTTTTGATAATTTATTATTTTAGATTTTTGGTTAACAAGTATAATGACAAACTTACATGTCTCTGTCTTCCAATCAAGTAAGCACTTTGTCTGTGAATGTGCATAACAGCTACAAAAAAAAATTTTTTTATATTTCTCACATCAAAGTAAAATAAATGGAGTAAATCCCTCCCAGGGTAAACAGAGTAAGTTGCCAGGTGATTAACGAGAGAGGCCCCCAAAAAAACAACCTCCAACATTGTCCTAAATGGAGTACATGGACTGTTCTTGCCAACTAAAATCAGCTGGAACACAGTTGTGAAGACAAGAAATACAAAACAGTTGAGACTCCAATAAGGGGTATTCATTACAGGAGCTGGCTTCATTTTGGCTTTCTCAAGGGGTGTTAATTTCAGTGATATGCGATAATCTTAGGAGGCTAGGACAAAAAATTTTTGAGCCTTCAGGTACGTACACATTGCCTCCTCTCCTTTAAAAGGATAAAGACGCCATCTTGTCCTCGGCTTCCTTGCCTCTATGGGTTCATTATATTTGATGACCACACCCTTGAAACAACAAGCAATCAATAACTGTGAATATATGAAAATCATATAATTATGTGAACTGCGGTTTAAGAAATGAACATGAAAGCAATCTTTGCAGTAATGAACTCTACTTAAGCAGTAGTGAAAATAGGGCCTGAAAATAAAAATTCAGGCCTGTACAGAATTGAACCCATGACCTTGGAAATACTGGTGCAGTGCTCTACCAACTGAGCTAACAGGCCAACTGGGAGCTGGTCATTATGTGGGTTTGCACCCACAAAACCCAAACATCAAATCAAGTACAAAGCAAATACATAAATGTCCAGTGCTAAAGGATTTTACTCTAAATGTACCATCAATTAAGACAGAAACCAAAAATTTTTTTCTGTGGAATAAAAGCAGAATGACAAATTTATTGAATTTGTAATGACTATCAGGTGTAGTTACCTTGTAAGTGTTTGAATATTCTGTTAATTTTCCTGAAAGATTGTAATTGGGACCATCTGGTTCAAGGTTTCCATCTTGTCCACCACTGTCCTCAGCAGGTCTTTGATGCCTTTGAATTTGAATACATTAAGAGAATTCTTTAAATTGGCGACCAAGAAATAGGTATAAAAAGTTTTAAACACAATTGTCCATAAATCAGGAGGTGTTGTTCTTCTATTTATTACTGACAGAAATCCCTAAGTTTGATCAAGTAATTTTTTTGTGCCTTATAAGAAAGAAATGTTCAGTATTTAATCCAGAAAACCAAGCATAAGCATACAAGAAAAATCAGTCATCTACCAAATGAACATCTTTGGAAGAAAAAAAGAGGCCTAACAAAATATTGGAACTAACATCCTAGGATTATTTTCTGAGTGTGCTAAAGCATTACAAGTTACACATAATTTTACAACTCTGAAACCCTTTACATATTGAAATTTAACATTATAATTGTACATGTATACTGTGCTGAGAGAGAGTAGGAGTAATTTGCTACATGAATGAGAAAATGTGACAGAGCTCAAAAGTCAAAAGAGTTAGATGAGCAAATTAATTAATTACAAGTTATTATAGTATTAAACATTCATACATTCTGAAAATGATGCTTACTCAGTTGGTGAATGTTGCCTTTCCTGCCTTCTGTTGTGGTATCTTCTCTCTGGATGAGAGGCTGAAAAGATAAACAAATTATCAGTCACATCTTGAGAAAATAATGCAAAATTTATCATCAATAAATTGTAACATTTTATATTAAAAGACAATTTGAAATTAAAACTAAACAGTTAAGAGGGTAGGAATTACATTGAACACAAAGTTTTTGAGGTAGTGATATTGTTTTGAGGAGTCTAAGTGTTTCCTTCTTTTGGTAGCTTTCATAATAAGTGACAAAATTCAGTTACACAAGATGTGTGGCAGATTGGACTATATAAATTTACTTGCTCTCTTCTGTCTAAAGTACCCAGACAATCACATGTTCCTTAAAAATTGTACCCTTCACATACTCAGTCATTAAAGATGTTCCTCTTAAAAAGCATTGAAAAAAGTGAAAAATAAAATTATCCAATTTTAAATATGGTTTAATCATTTGAGCCATTCAATTGAAAGGCAATGTAATGGATAAAACATTAGAAAAAAAAAGGTTTCTATCCACCAACCTTCAGGAGCTCTTTCATTGTGATACTTATTTTTGTCCCATTCTCTTCTACTGGCAGATCTACTCTGATTAAAATGAAAAGCATGACAATAACTAAATAACAACTCATAGTCCATGGTAATTTGCCAAGGGCAACCAGTTTTTCCAGCTAAGATAAAAAAAGAAAAGGTAGCTGTGTCTAGAACATAAAAATGTTATGTAGTTCTAAGAAGACTACAACAAGTGAAAAAAGTCCTAGGAGACTAGTGAAAAGAAAATTATTTTAGGTTATGTTGTATTAATTGCATCTTGTGCAAATAGAATATGAGTGATGTTAAAAATGTTTTTTGAGCCTAGGAAAGAAATAGAAACAGATGTTTTTTTCCCTCGTGTTGCAAGCCTGGGACAAAGAAAAAATTCTGCATCTCCATGAGAAATTAAACCCCACACCTTTGCATTTTGATGGGCTACTGCTTGGCCAAAGACACTCTTTGATGAACTAGGCAGTAATTGGGTTCAAAATCATGACAATTATCCTGTATACAGCTAGGATTAGCAATGTTGAAAGTGTTGTGCATATAAAAAGAAATCGCATCTTGTAACTCTATAAACAGGGATGAAATAAAAAACTTTTATTTACTGCTCAACAAGTTCATTTATTATCAAATGCTCTGCTAAACTTACTACATGACTTGTATCTTGATGATGACTCCTCCTTCCACCATCCACTCTGTTATTTCTTGGTTCTAGATGCTTGCTTAAATAAGAAGATATTACTCAAAGTTCAACTGTTTGGAAGACAAAGTGCTTTGGAAGACGAAAATTCAGAGGAACAGGTGTAACAGCACATGAAAAAGCTGTGACTAAGATTAATGACACTGTTCTATCACTAGCCACATGTACAAGATGTATAAACTTCTCAAACTAAGGAGCAAAGTGGGAAATTAACAATGAAAAAAACTATAAATTAGACAATATATTTCTTTGAGCAGACATCGACATTAATTTGCTGTAAGCAAAATAGGGAAATACATTTGGCTGTTTATCTTATCTCATCAAAGTAAGCATAAGAATTCTCAGCTTTGATATACAGTTTGTAACTAATTGATACAGCCATTTCTTTTTTTTCTCAAACATATTCTTTCCAATGGGAAACCTATCCATTGCAGACATTAAGCTAGTTAAGCCAATCAGTGGCTAAATCAGCATGTTCTCTACCAATCAAATTGAAGTACATTCAAGTAATTTTCCCCTAACAGAACATGAATTAATATTTGGAGAAAATGTTCACTATTTTAAGAGCTAAACAGAAATCAGGACAGTTACTCCCTTTCAATATTCTAAGTGTGCATAAATTTCTGACTCGCTTAAAGAATGTATTTCGAACAATTCTTAATGGTTGTGGTCAGAAATCTTAAAAGGAGAATAAATTATTCTTATATTTGAATTGATAACAAAAAGAACTTCGTTTGAGTTATAGGCTAAAATTACTGCTGCTGTTCGCCTTTATGCTGATCGAGATAAGAGTTCCTTTCGTTTTTCACCTTCTGATTTTATTTCCGAAGCTAAGGAAATTATGTGAGAGTCAAGGTCCATGCCCATGTTCATTACATGAACCACTTTCCCTCAGTGGTGCATAACTATTTATTGGTAAATCACTTTACGGCACTTTGGTCCCCTTTTGAACTCCAAAATTTGTGATTAGTTTCGATCTGTAACTGAAAAAAAAGGCCTTCTATTTTACAACTTACTCCCTGCGTTGACTTCGCCTATCACGTTCTCTTTCGTTATCACGATCGTCTCGATTTCCTCTGTTTCGTGCAGGTGATCGCGATCTCGAACGATGTCTCCTCACAACGCTCGCCATTTTAAACTGTATCGTCCCTTCATATAATTAACACAGAGTGTTAGTCGAAGCTTGGAAAGATACTTCAAATAAGACTTCACAGAGCTAATGTGCCACAACGAAAGCCTTCTCAAGAGGAAGACGAGAAAAAGGATAGAACGGTCAAATAGATTTTCAATAATCTTTCAGGCATGAATTTTCAATAGAAAACCTCTTGCGATGAAATCCTTTATCATTCTTGTGGAACTTTACTCACCTTACATACCTCCTCTCATCTATATACGTCATGGCTGAAAAAAAGAAAAATGGCAGAAAACATTCATATTACAGACTTCATGTATGGCTTACGACATGCCCTAGTTAGCCTTGTTTTACCACGAGAACCCACTTCTGCCCCAAATTAACCATGTTCTACCACATTTACCCTAATTTGGCCATGTTCTACCCCGTTAACCCACCTCTATCCTAAGTTACCCATGTTCTACCACGTTAACCCCAATCGACCCAAGATTAGCCATGTTCTACCCCGTTAAGTCCCATCTACCCTATGTTAGCCATGTTCTATCACATTAATCCCCATCTACCCTAAGTTAACCATGTTCTACCACAGACATGGTTTGATGCTACTCTGGTTTACAGATTTAATGAATGTAACCGAAGAAGTTACAATTCATAGACCCAACGTTTCGACACTCCTGTCTAGTGCCTTCATCAGGGGTGATCTAAACGCTGCAACAAGAGGTCCTTTTATACGATCACTAATTAGCGGCCTTTTTTTTCTGACGAGGTGTAAATAGGCGTCAGGAAGCAAACCGCCATCGTCACAATTTAAAGGAGCGTGGGAGGAGTTTATATGCCAAGCCTCCAAACAAAGGCGTTGGTGGCAACGTCGATTAGTGGTGATAACTTTAGAATTATCCTACCCAATTGTATGGTTAGTTAGGCATGTGTGCTCCGATAAAGCTGAATTTTCCTTTTTGCAAAAGAAAACCGCTTTTTGGTGCTCTTTTAAACGTGTACCAAACTGACGTTTGGTCTGTCCGATGTATTCGTTGTCACAGTCATTGCAAGGAATAGAATAAATGGCGTCGGTTCGTTGTTCTTTCGTGACAGGATCTTTAGGTTTGGCTAAAATATGCCCCACAGTCTGAAAAGGTTTTTGAGCAACTTTAACGTTGTGATTATTCAAGTAGTTCTACCACGTTAATCCACATCTACCCCAATTGCTATGTTCTACCCTCTTGACCCCCAGCTACTCTAGGTTAACCTTGTTCCACCACGTTAACCCACATCTACCCCAAGTAAGCCATGTTCTACCCCCTGAACCCATATCTACCCTGAGTGAACCATTTTCTACCACGTTAACCCCAATCTACCCTAGGTTAGCCATGTTCTAGCCTCTTAACCCCCATCTACCTTAAGTAAACCATGTTCTACCACGTTAACCCACATCTACCCTAAGTTAGCCATGTTCTACCATGTTAACCCACATCTACCCTACGTTAGCCATGTTCTACCCTGTTAACCCCCATCTACCTTACGTTAACCATGGTCTACCCTGTTGACCCCCATCTACCCTAGGTTAGCCATGATCTACCACGTTGACCTTCATGCACCCTAGGTTAACCATGTTTCACCACGTTAACCCACATCTACCCCAAGTTAGCTATGTTCTACCACTTTAATCCACATGTACCCCAAGTTTGCCATGTTCTACCCTGTTGACCCCTAGCTACTCTAGGTTAACCATATTATACCACGTTAACCCATATCTACCCGAAGTTAGCCATGTTCTACCACGTTAACCCCCGTCTACCCTAAGTCAACCTTGTTCACTGACAACGTTTACCCTCATCTACCCCAAGTTTGCCTTCTTCTACCCCCTTACCCACATCTACCTTTAGTGAACCATGTTCTTCCACGTTTACTCCCATCTACCCTTAGTTAGCCATGGTCTACCCCGTTAACCCCTATCTACCTTAAGTTGACCATCTTCTACCACGTCAATCCACATGTACCCCGAGTTAACCATGTTCCACACCACTTTAACCCACATCTGCCTTAAGTTAGCCATGTTGTCCCACATTAACCCCATCTACCATAAGTTAACCAAGTTCTACCACGTTAGCTGACATCTACCCTTAATGAACCATATATTTTAACTCCCATCTATCCCAAGTTAGCCATGTTCTTTCATGTTAACCCACATCTACCCTAAGTTAGCCTTCTTCTACCACGTTAAATCACATCTACCTCAAGATAGCTATGTTCTACCCCGTTAACCCCCATCTACCCTAAGTTAACCATGTTCCACCTCGTTAACCCCCATCTACCCCAAGTTAGCCATGTTCCACCACGGTTACCCCCATCTACCCTTAGTGAACCATGTTCTACCATGTTAACCCCCATCTACCCCCAGTTAGCCATGATCTACCACGTTAACTCACATCTACCCTAAGTTAACCATGTTCTACCACTTTAACCTACATCTACCCTTAGTTAGCCATGTTCTACCACGTTAACCCCCAGCTGCTCTAAGTACATCATGTTCTACCACGTTAACCCCCATCTACCCTTAGTTAGCCATGTTCTACCATGTTAACCGACATCTACCCATATCAGCCTGAAGATTCTTCAACGCACAGCGCTTCGTGCGTTTCTCTGAGTTGTGTTCCATTGAGGACAATTTTCATAGCTATTAGTGGACCATTTGTTTACCTCTGGGTTGCCTTAGCGAAGACAATATCCCGTTGAGAAAGGCACACGTGAACAATTTTAAGTATGAGGATGAATTAGAATTTTTCATCCAGCTACCGAACAAAACCGCTCTTAAGGAGATCGATGCAAGAGATACTGTCACAAGCGAAAATCCTCCGCTTGATTTGCCGAAAGAGGAGGAAGTGGCCAACGATGTGATTTTAGTTGACGTGAGGTACTCCCAATCAAGTCCTTTAAAGAAGCTTCATGAAATCATCGTTACTCCTATTGCTGATCTGATCGAAGACAACGGGCTAACATTCATTCCTGAGGGGCCATTTTGCCTTGCACCTTATGCAACATTGCAGGACTCGAACTCATCATATCTAAGTGATTCTTACAGAATCTGTGTGCTTCCCTCTCTGACGACGTTACATTTAATTCATGATTGCCCAGCTGACTTTCACATGAAGACTGGTACATTGCTCGTCGGCGACCCTTGTTTCAAAGATATTATCTATCAAGGAAGATGTTTGGTGCAACTTCCAGGAGCAAGGAAAGAAGTGGAGATGATCGGACGTATCCTCAATGTTTTCCCCCTTACTGGAAACATGAAGCGTTAAAACGAATATCATCAGTAGCGTTAGTTCACACTGCAGCGCACGGTAAAATGGAAACTGGAGAAGTTATCTTAGCACCAAACACTACAAGAGAAAACCCTCAGCCGCAAGAGAAGGATTATCTACTGACGATGAGAGATGTCATAGAAGGATTGCGGGCACCATTGGTTGCACTAAGCTACTGTCATACTACTCGTGGGGAGATCATGGCCGAGGGTGTGGTCGGCATGGCGCATGAACTTCTGGGTGCCGGTGCTAAATCTGTTGTGGTAACCTTATGGGCGATTGGCGACGAGGGAACCCTAGAGTTCATGAGTTTCTTCTACAATGCACTTGCTAATGGCAACAAGGCAAGTGAAACTCTCAATCAGGCCATGAAGTGTATGAGAAAAATTGAAAAGTTCAAATAGGTGAAGTACTGGGCACCATTTGTTTTCATTGGTGATGACGCTAACCTGGATTTCAAGGATATTTAGAAGCTGGAGCAAGTAAATATTCTGTTTATAAATTCGATTCAATACAAAGTTACAATAAATCATAATTATGGCTCATATGTGGGCACTGATACTTGTGTGTCATTTTCCTTTCAGTTTGGTTACGAATTTATTTTTTTCTCTGGCAAATCGAGATGCAACAGAATCAAGTGAACTTATTTACGATGATAACATTTTTTTTAGGAAACATGATGGAGTAAAAAAGAAAATTTCTTTTAAAACAATCCTGTTACGCAATGTATCGTTTCATGTGCTAGGAAAAAGTACATGGCAACTCAACTATTCTCCATAAAATTCGATTCTTTTATTTTTCAGTTAAGGAGTGAGCATTGGAATTCCAGGGACTTTTCTGTTACTTACAAACGTTGATATTTGGACCAGAGACCAGTAAGCTACCGATAAAATCTTTGTCAAGAGTCTTCTTTTCAAAGCAGGAAGAACCAAAAGACAGCGAAAGTCAAGTTTGACTATTTTCTTGTCTGAACTGCTCTTACGAGCTTGATCTTTGATATCCTGCTCAAACTGTTGTTATTTTTTTATATGATGCCTTGAAGTTATCACGACTTACTACGTAAAAAGTTACTTTTAATCTAAATATTACCTACGAAGAGGATTAAGGCGTTAAATTTATGTCGAAGTTGAAACTTCTTGGAAACGTTTTCCAGAGTTTTTCACAGATGTTTTTCCCAATCGGTTTTTGTCTCATGAGTGATATAAAGCTGTTACAGCCATATGCGTGTGTAGGGACTTTCCATGGAAATTGGAGAATAATCAGCTATCTAACTGCTCGATTATCTTAGTTTATGTCAAATGGAAACTGTGATTAACTTTTCGAGGATTTGTACCCGGTCATTGGTACATAAAGTTGTTTTCTCTCGATCAGAATATGGTTTATGCGGACTTAAAATGACAGATTTTGGTCGTAATGGCTAGGATTTAGTCTTGGTATTAGTTAATTTTCTGAGATTTTTCCTTTAATTTTGAATGTGATAAATTTTGTCATTTTTACAAGCATAACGATGCAGTCACTCCAATTAGATTGTTTACCTATTGTCTAAGTAGAGTAAGCAAACATTTGAATGTCAAAAAATGAAACAAGTCGCTTGGCATTTTGTTAGAATGAAAGAGGAAATCAATAACAAAGGGAAGAAAATTTCTGCATCAACCTTCATATGCCATTTCTTGTCGTTTAAAGTAGTAAGCGCGCCTAAGTCT